AAGGTGATGCCAGAGCTCATAGGCAGGTAAATTCTTTGTAATGGATTAGCTGTTAATTGGAAAATGGCAGTCCTTGAAAATAGTGCGAAGAGAGAAAATGCAGAGTGTCCGGAAGCAAAGCATAAATTGATGGCTCATTACGTCTCCTTTTCCTGGTCAGAGTCACTGCAGACTGAGCTTAAAAGTATAAAGCAAGAAAAGCCAACATAAACAAGTGCTCAGAATCCCATTGACAGCTTTAGGCTCAGGACTAGAGAAAAAAACAACACAAGTGCAAAGGATGTTTATGAGACTAAATGTTCTGGATTTGTTTACCACTCCTCTGCGTCTCTGCCAGCCTCTGCTCTGCCTGTTCAGGAGGAGCCAAACGACTGCTTTGGACTTGAGGGGATTGCTGAAGCAAAGCACATCCTTTACTCTAGAAATATCCTTCCCTGTTCATTCAGCAGGAGGGACCAGGTGTCTAACAGCCCTTTTCTCCGGTGTGATGCAGACATGATTATTTATTCTCAGTATCAGAGCAAAAAGGTTCCCAGCCAAAGCACAGAGGCAACCTGCTGGGGATTGAGCCCAAGCTATGTAAAATAGGTCTTTGTGGATGCAGAATCAAGAGGGGGAAGGTAGAAGATTGGCAAAAGGATGAAGAAAAGGAGAAGGAGATAAAGTGGCTTGCTTGAAGAACTGCAGTAATTCAGCTGCACTAAGAGAATCTCGGGCTGGAAAGTCTTATTCTTGGTCTTCATCCTCTCTTTGTAGGCGCCGTCAATAATTTGACCATTATGGGTTTCTCTTTCATTGATTTTTCTCCTGATTCCAGGAAGGCTTTGGGTTTGCACTGCATCTTACTAAAACCAGAAATATCAGATTCTCAGAAGGAGACCATCCTTCCGAGGTTTTCAGATCCAAACTATTTAGAAAAGGATTTTTTGTCTGTTTATCTGAACTCAAAATGAACTGCTGAAATGTTTGAGGTTTGTCCCTAATAAAAACGTGGTTTTGAATCACTGCAATATTCTGCAGCTTAAATATGGCCTAAAAGTGAGCAGAGGTGGTTGTGCTTTCCTGGGACGTGTTTTGCTTGCAGTCAAGGCTAACTGTTGCTTTAAACTTACATTCAATGATGCTGAAATCTTGCGAATTGATCCCATAATGGGATGCTTACTCCTGAAGCTAAATAGGATTAATTTGAGTCTGAAATCTGTGAGAGTTGTGTTTGAATCTGAACCATTTACAGGCATTACCTGGGACCTGATCTGATGGAGGTACGGGTGGATTAGCCATTCTTTGTGCTCATTTCTGCTGTCTCCAGCATGACACTTCCCATCTCTCTCTTAGCTGCACTATGGTCTCTCATGCCCAAGGGACAGCTTTACCCACCATGTCCTGCATTGCATCCCTTGTGGTGGTTTCTGTGTGTTTTGTAGCATCACACTGTGTTGCTTGGTTGCTGTCTGGCCTGTCCTGCTTCTAAAAACTTGAACCACCATAAAGGTCAAGAATTGCAGCAGTAAAAGATGTAGAGATATCCAGAGCGGATGAGGGGTCATGCACTCTCACTGTCTTTTGAAAAAGGAACTTCTCGCTGATAGAGATTGGAGCCTTACAGTGAGGAAGCAGTTGCCTTGTCATTGCTCTTACAAAGCATTTGGTAAAAAGCAAAAAATGCCGCTTTAGAAATACTCTCTTGGATGTGCATCGTTTTGATGTCAAGCTTTGTTAGCCACTCCTTGATGGAAAGGCAGGTGTGTTTTGCAGCACAACCACATCTCAAAATTTCCTTTTCTGAGCAGGTCAAAACAAGACATTACAGCAATTTGAAAGCTTTGTTGCAACTTCATTTTCTTCTGGCCAGGAAGTTTGACAGAAATAATCCTTGCCATGAAAAGTTTTGTTTTCAGCAAATCAACATTTTGTTTTTCTCAGAGAGAAAAGGCTCCTGGAAAAATTCCTGCTCTGGGGTTGGTTTGAATTTGAACAACACAACAGTGTCTCCTGGTGGCTGACTCCAGGGGAATGGCCAAATTCATCTTAGCTTCCGAGTGTCTCTTTCTTGACCCCTCCTTCTAGATCTTTGCTCATCAGTAAGTGAGAAAAGTAGGAAATGAATTGCACTCTGAGCAACAAACTATTTCATAAGCCATAAAAATACCCACAGCAGGCTGTTTTCTAGGCTCCGGTTGTTGTTGAAATAAGGTAATTACATTTGAAGGCAGTATCACTGGATGTTTGGCTAATCTGCTGTTCAGCTTCCGCTCTAATAATACAGAAGCTCACATCAGCAGCTCAGCCAGCATGGAGGGCCACCCATCCTTCTCACTGCCCTGTGGGTTCCGCCTGCAGGTCACTGCGAGGCTGCACTCCCACCATCTCACATTCCAGCAGCACTTGTCATCAAATGAGTTCTGCCTCACACCAAATATGACCACTAAAGGATAATGAAGATCTCATCTGAAGCACGGCTATTGGCTTTGCAGCATTAGCCTTCTGCCATCACCTTGCCCAGGCTTCTCCTGTCATCACTCTTGATCTGCTGGATCAGCTCCTCACCACTGCTATTGATGATCCCATCTGTGTCCTCTCCTTTCCCTCTTTCTCATGGCCTCTCTCACTGCCCATGACAGATTTCTGCAGCTTTTCTTCTAAACTCAAAGATGAAGCAAAAGCCGGAGGGTAAACAATAGGGGCACCAAATTGTCGACGGAATTTGGCACATCAGTATAAGCAGTTATACTGGCACATTAACTGGTTGCAATCCCGTGTGTTCAACAGGGCACAAAAAGTCATGGGGTTGGCTTAGAAACCATGGGATTTTAGAGAATTAAGAACTTACAAATTCTTCTTATTCGCCACAAGGTTTGTAAGTTTGTCCAGCTTACGTTTTTCAGTCTGGATGGTGACTTTTTTGGTAAAACCTCCTGAGGTTGTTGTATTCGCATAGCCCCAGAATTAGGGATTTTGATAAGATCTCCAGGTATCCCAATTTCATGATAAAATTGTGGCTCTTGGCAGCACATCCGGCAGCAGTGAGACAGACTGGGAGAGTGCTGAGGTAGGTGTGGCTCTGTTGGATCAGACAACTGCAGCACTGCAAGCTGCAATTTGGGATATTCTGCGATTCTATATGGAGACTTATTCCGCTGCCTGGAGGGCTGCAAGAATGTAGCAAGCTATTCTGCTTCTTGTCGAGAAGGCTCTTGCATAACCCCAGCCGAGGGGAGGTGGAATGTGCCAACTGTGTGCTGATGGTGACAAATGGCTCAAGGATGCCATGGGCACGGTGTCCTGTCACCACTGTCGCTTACAGCAGGGCTGGCAGAGCCAGACGGGCTCTATTTCGGGTGCAGTCTCCACTGGGGAGCTGGTTAGATGCCACCTTCGAGCAGTCCTTTTCTTCAGCTGGCTTTTCCAGGACATTTTGGCATTGTCAGGGAAGGGAATAGTGTGACAAATGCCTACTGATGGTAGGGAGGGAATCGCTGTTTCTGCAGTGAGAAAGGTGTAGGGAGGGCAGCGCAGGGGCCGTGCTGTCTTAGTGCTCCCTACAGCACTGAGGTCACTCCTTGCTGGAAACTAAAGAATGGAAATTGTACAGTCCTTCCCCTGGTGTCCCTTAGTAATTAGTGTATATGAATTGTAATCATGAGGACTGAGGCTCTTCGTGCTGTTTCTCTTGGATAAATGGTTGAGCAAAAGGCAGTCTATAGCATAAAGTAATTTAGCCTATGAGTGATGGTCCATTAGCAGCCCACAGGCTGTCGCTGCCGATAGTAGGGGCTGTGCAGGCTTTTCCTAGCATCAAGTTAACTCTTTCCCCCTCTATTTCAATTGCCAGAGATTCACTCTGCAGAGCGTGGAGTTAAATGTGGCCGTGGCACAGGATTACCTGTGCCTTCTCCCTTCAGAGCCACAAATAATGCAGCAACATCCCTAAGAAACTGCCAACTATTAACATAGCTTCTAATGACGGATGGGGAATAAAGGAAGTTATTATCAGTCAGGAGATGAGTCAGATATGAAAATAACACCTTTTTCTAGGCAATATTATTACACGGAGGAAATGAAAAAGAGTCATTTTCTTTTACAAAGGAATGGGTCATGAGCATTAGAAATGCGCACTGCAGAGCTTGGTGCTGTTGGAGCAAACCCCAGCCAACCTTATGGATGTGTCCCTGCTGTGCCGGGTTCTTGCCATGAATCAGGAGCCCAGGTGCTGGGCAGGCACTGCTGCACCTCCCAGGAAGGGAATTTCTGAGGCCGTGTCTGAAATACGAGATTGTAGCCCAGGGTGATTTGGTGCTGATGATGGAGGAGGGAAATGGAAAAATCAGTGCTTAGGTGTAAGCTGCGTGCAGACTTGTGCAATCAGAGAAACCCACTCTGATCCTAGAGGGAATTCTGGCACTCACAGCTCTACTGCTGTCTCTTTAACTAGGTCTGGTGTGAGTTACTGACTAGGACTTCAGAAGGAGAAATCATCTTGTATTTTTTTTAGGGGTGATTTCCAAAGGCACTCAAGGGAAATAAAACTATTGCTCCTATTGACTTTCACAGATATTTGTTTTCCTAATACTTTTAAGAGCTATCTGTAGGAAAAGTGCTTTGTTTGTATATGAATAGAGCTATGCTGTGTTGAAAGTGCTTCTGCTTGGGATACAGCAGGACCTGCAAAGCTCTGCAATAAAAGCAGCGTGAGTGATGCAATTCTAAATAGAAGACTTAAAAGCCATACTACCTTTGTAGATGTTGTTGTAAGAATGGACAAGCACCCTCCTTTGCATAGTTTCTTGGGCCTTTATATTGAGTGCACTTGTTCTAACACTGCTCCAAAAATGGACTGGGATTCCATGTTTCCAATAAGACTCTGGGGACTGTGGGAGGGACACGGGAAAAATATGACCTGAATGCATCATTAGTGCAAATCCCAGAGGGAGAGGAACATATCAGCCCATGGCTGTTTTCTCTGCACATCTGTTTGACCATGTTGCTTTTTTGCCCCATAGCCAGACGAGCTGACCAACGCCTTGGAGATCAGTAACATCGTCTTCACAAGCATGTTCGCCCTGGAGATGCTCCTGAAACTCCTTGCCTTTGGCCTCTTCGGCTACATCAAGAACCCGTACAATATCTTTGATGGGATCATAGTTGTCATCAGGTCACTGCCAGTTCTTTTTCTACCGTGGCTTTTCTGCCAAGGGCTTGGATCAGCTGGGGAATGGGATGGGAATGACATGACGTATTAATCCTGAGCTCTCTGGTTATCATGGGGTATAATTATGCTGCCCCATTTTATATTTCCACCACTAGAAGGGCCATCCAAAGTAAATGGACCTGGCAGATGGAGAGTAAGGTCTGTTGACGCCACATGTCTGGCACTGTGGTTAATTTTCCACTGAAGTGCAGAACTGCTGGTCCTGGGAAAGGAGTACTGTGAGTGTCCGTATCCCAGCAGTGTGCTTCTCCCAAATTAACATGTAACTCAGGCCAGAGCAGGACAAGCAGGAGGGCAAGAGAGGGCAGCGTTCTGCTCTCCTCTCCCAAGGCAATACTGTCTCAGCCTGCACTGGGGATGGCACAGCATGCATGTGAGAAGGTTGTGCAGCACCTCTCCATACTGGGATCTACCTGCACTGTTCACAGCTTGGTTAATAATTTGAGGCAGAGAAGACAGGGCAGACATAGAAAGTGTAAATCAAGATAGTGCTCTTGACTTCTGTTGGCCCATCGCTTTGATTCAGAGAAGTGAGAAACAGAGAAAAGGCCCAGAACAAAGGCCAGTTGTGGCTTGTTAAATATTAAACACAGATCAAACCAACCCACCCCCACAAATGTAAATCCCTCTGCATATTAGCTTGGTACAAAATTGTAATCTACTTCTTGTGGCTAGGCTTGTGGCTGTGTGTAGTGACAGCAGGAGACGTGCTGTGTTGTGAATAGCCACAAGCAAGGGAATTAAAGAACCAAGAAACCAGCTATAAAGGATATAGGTTGTGCATGAGTTTGTGGCTCTGCACAGCTGGAAGCAAAGGTGTTTTTCAAAAGTGAGAAAGCAGCAGCAAATAAACTACCCCTTTAGGACTTAAATGGTGTGAAATCCTGCAGGAAGCCAGCCTGCTTAGGGCTTTCAGTGTACAGGGCTGCTGCTTATAGTTGTTCTTGGCTTCCTGCAGTGTCTGGGAGATCATCGGGCAGTCGGACGGCGGTCTTTCCGTGCTCCGAACTTTCCGGCTGCTCCGGGTGCTGAAGCTGGTGCGCTTCATGCCCGCCCTCCGTCGCCAGCTGGTGGTCCTGATGAAGACAATGGACAACGTTGCCACCTTCTGCATGTTGCTCATGCTCTTCATCTTTATCTTCAGGTACCAGAGGCTGCAGATCTTCTCCTTCCATTAGTCGTTCTGGCTTCTTATATAATGCAGAGATGAGAATGCAGCACTTTTGCGAGGCTGCCTGCGTGACAGAAGTGCTCACAATAGACTGACAAGCAGACACTCAACAGATGATTTATTTCCTTGCAGCCTCTGTTTTCCATGCAAAACTGTAATTCTGTAGATGACTGAGGAACACAAACAGGCAACAACAGTAAAACAATTGCTCTGGAGTTGTTTTGAATCTCCTTTAGCTGTGTCTCAGCAAGCTGTCAGAAACTGGACTCTACCAGCCTCGTATTTAAGGTGGAGGTTATACAGACTCCAAAGCTTTTGTCTGTTTGACCCCGTAATGGTCCTTAGGATCCTGTTCTTGGAAACCGGATGGATTAGGCAGCTGGCAATGTGATTTGCTGTTTTTTAGAAACATGAGATGCCTGATTTGACTTCAGCATAGGTAATTGTAATGACACATGACGCACAAGAGCCAAATAGCAGGATTTGATCAGTGGTCATGTATGTCAGTGGTAATGCAGAGCCCGTCTTCCTGGGAGATAGCACTGGCAGAAGGAACACTGGGAGGGGAAAACGTGTCCTAAAAAAGTACCGAACCCTCCCTGCAACCATATTTTGCACAATAATGTATTTCTTCCATTTATTTCTTTTTTTTCCTCCCACTCCAGCATTCTCGGCATGCATCTTTTTGGATGCAAGTTCAGTCTGAAGACTGATACAGGAGACACAGTTCCAGATAGAAAGAATTTTGATTCCTTGCTCTGGGCCATTGTGACAGTATTTCAGGTAAGCTCTGAATCCTGTTGTCAGTAAAAGTCTAAGAAGACTTGAAAATCCACTCTTCTTTTCCCTTTAGATAGTAGTTAAGGTCAAAACCCACAGTCTGCTGTCCATTCTGCTCCTGTTGTATAGATATCTGTCTCCTCACTTGTCTTCTCTGCACACACAAAAATGCACTTCCTGAACAATTTCATTTAACTGGGAGTAGCAAATACTATCACAAATCAGAGCTGGTGTTGCTGGCTCTTTTTGCTGAGGAAGTCTTTGTGCCAAAACCTGTGTTTCCTCTATGGACAAGGTCTGTTATACACTTGAAATCACTGGCTATTCCATAATGGAGCAATAAGCTGCTACGTCCAGGACATTCTAAATATAAAGATTAGTCTTTTCTGTTAAAAAGCTCAGTCCTTACAGCCTAAGTGCAGCAAATGGAGCACAGTGTAAACAATATTAAGCAAAGTTTCTAACAGGTGCAAACCTGTCCAGAGCCTTCACTGTGAATGTTATAACTTCTTGCAGTTTTTCTTCTTGCAAAGAAGCAAGGAGAAATCAGTTGTAGTCTCATAGATTTGGTTTGGTTTTGTTCTGTTTTGGTTTTTTTCCAACATAAATACAGACTTCTGCATTTATTCTGACAGTCTCATTGACAAATAGAGTCGGCACAGAGCACAAGGGTTTGGCCCTACATCCCATGAAGGTTAAACAAGAGACATGGCTTAGGGCTACTGACTGCATTCCTACCCCCAAAGCTACCTTATTTTCAGGCAGGTTAGAAGCCACTCTCACTGCAAGCCTGAATTAATGAGCAGCATGCAGCTCTCATCTGTTTTCCATAGGCCCCCGGATTTTTGAGTTTCAGGGAAGCTGGGAAAGTGGGAATCCCTGAGGAAGATCCCTTGGAGCAAGACTTTGCAAAGATGTCTGTTTTTTTGTCCATTTTGTCAGTAGTCTTACCCAGTGGAAACTGCTTTGCTTCTCTGACTTTCTGAAGCTACCTCATGTCATTAATCATGTCAAATATTATGTTTCCTCCCCTTAAAAATATACCTTAAAAAGAGCATCTCTAGAGGGGACAACAGCCCGGCCCCAGATCTGTTACCTATTGATGGTTATTGAAGGAGGCAATACCCCCACCAAATAATGGGACTTTTACTACCATATCCTTTGTGTTGCTATGTCTTGGATCTGAACTAGTCATCTTATGGGCAGCAGCACACTACATCTTCCTGCAGAGAGGGGAGGTTTGGTCAGGGGAGAGCTCTCCTGTGCGAAGCTCTGACTAAATGAATGTTTTGCTATCTGTCTCAAGAGACCTGCTCATAATTATGCTTAGAAAAGGTCAGAAGGAGAGGAAGAAATGAGTATGTCAGCGAGGAATTGGATGCAGCTGCTATGCATGAGAGGAGTGGAGTAATCAGAGTCTTCCCCTTCACCTCTCTGCAGATCCTCACTCAAGAGGACTGGAATGTGGTTCTGTACAATGGAATGGCATCAACATCTTCATGGGCAGCGCTCTACTTTGTGGCCTTGATGACCTTTGGCAATTATGTGCTCTTCAACCTTCTGGTTGCCATTCTGGTGGAAGGCTTCCAGGCAGAGGTAAGAGATCTGAGCAGGGGGAGGGAGAAAATGTGAACCGTGCGCAGGCAGGATTGTATGGATCAGTTCACGTCAGTGGATCCAATCATGCAGGCAGCACTAAATTTAACCTTAAGCAGTGCAGATAAGCTGGGTTGGGCATGTGGAGCTCATTTGAGTCTGTCCTTACAAATAAGGCCAGCTGGACTTGGCACGAGACTTGGGTGAGCAACACTTTGGTTAATCCGCTGTGGGGTGGAAGTCACTTAGGATGGATTTAGCTTGCCTAAATTTCACATTTATACTGTCTTTTGTGTTCCTTTATGATGCATCTCATGTCATGTGGAGCAGGTAGGATGCAAAGCTGAATCCAGGACTCTGCTTGAGACTCTATCCCTTGTCTGTTATTTGACAGTAGTGGTCCAGCAATTAAAAAACCTTGCACTGCAAGGTTGCAAACGTTAAATTTTGAGATACACAGGATACGATATAGGCCACATAAATTTTTACTCACACTTGAAATTAATGTCTGTAACATTGTTTTTCAAAGTCCTAGTGCAAATGGAAATGAATTTGAAACTTAGCAAAAGTCATCCAGTCTCAGTTAAAGCTGGGAACAGTGCTATCAGAAAGGCTTATGTCACGCTTTGGAATTTTTTAATTATTGCTTTTTTATTTCTGTGACCATCAAGAAGGAAAAGCTGGAGTGGCTTCAGAGGCACACTGACTAAGAAACAAAATGAGAGAATGGTTTCAGTTTTCACCGCCTTAGCTCACAAGGGGAAAGAAGACAAAGAAACTCTGTTTTTATGGGTTTTTTTCACTTTTCATTTTTTTCCCCAGAAATGGCATCATGCTCTCATTTGCTGTGTTTATATTACACTTAGACAAGCCATCACGGACCATGGAATATAATTGAAATATTCATGGACCAGCAATTCCCTTCTCTCAAGCCAGCACAGCCACATTATGTCCTTCAAGGATGTCTGCATAGATTCATTATTAAAACATCCCTCCTAGCTTCCTCACAGCACTAACAGAGGAAAATTAATTGAAACAACAGGAACCAAGGCCCAGATTGTGAAAAAACAACCCTGCTGGATGTTGCTGAGGGCTGTTCCATGGATGCTGGGGGCTGTGAGTGCCACCTGCACACACACAGGAGATGCAAGTGGTCCAGCTCTCTGCTTTCAGAATGAATGGCTCTGCACTGCATGAGTGAGCATCCTGATGGCTTGTCCAGTGGGGCCCATGCTCTGAAGATCTAGCACAGCTGGCTGCAAAGAGCATGAAGATCCTTTTCCAAGAGCAAGCTATGTCCCATGAGTCAGAGCTAATGTTAATGCTGTTTGCTTCCAAACTCTTGTCCTTTTCTTAGTGTCACAGACCTCTGCTGGCTCTGCTCTGAATACTGTAACACCTTTGCCATATTCATGTGCTAGGAATGTGTGGCAGATGAAGATGTACATTAACCTAGTGAGACCAAAGTAAGGAATTACCAGTATTTCTACAAGCCCTGCAGTAACTGCTGTCTTCCAGACCAAACATGATTTTCCTCTAGGAGATTTGTAATAAGAGTGGCTGTATTTGACCTCCGTTTCTGTTGGTAAACAACACAGGCCATAGCAAAATAAAGCCTGTGCTAATGCAATAGATTTTTCTGAACTGAATTTAGAAGCTAGTGATACGTTAGCCACATGGTAGTTCAGAAAAGAAGTGTTCAGTGGGCAGCCATATGTCAGATCTCCTGTGATTGCACCAACCAGCAAATCTGGGTGGCAAAAAGAGGGCATGCCAGGGAAACCCAAATAGATGATAACCAGGAGGTGTGACCTGAATGACTGGAAACCACTCCTGCTCCTCTTGTTGCTGGCACACTGATGCTCATAGCAAATAGGAGACATTTGGGAACCCTGAGTTCTCCTATTTACCTCTGTCCCCTTGGCTGTGCCTCTTTAGTGCATGGAGATTTCATTCTTAGCTCAAGCAGTCTTACACTTAAGAACAGAGGGCCCTTGCAAGGTGCCCCGCTTCTCTGTTACACTTGCAGCCCCCGAGCAGCCTTTGTTGCTGTGTGTTTGAGGCCACAAGAAGGTTTTCTCCACTCAGCAGCCCGGCAGCTCGCAGGTACATTTGTACTGTGTAGATCCTGTTCCTTGCCTGCCTGCTTTCTTAGAGGCTGAATCACCTGCTAATACGAAGCCAGGAATGGGCAAACTTGTGCAATCTTCTCTGAGTGTGTGATTACAGACCTGGCCGACTGGCTGTCATTTCTTGCTCAGATTTAATGGCTCCTTTCGGAGCTGTTGTGGACTGCGATTTAAATATGTGTAAGGAGTACTTTTCAGAGCTTGTATTATTCACTCAGTGCTGCCTCGGAAAAGGCCAGCAACCACAGGCATGACATTTGCAGGGCACATTCTGCTCTCCACTTCCATTTATTATAGAATTTGACATCAGGCCTATGAGCTTGTCAGATGCCTCACAGTGAGGTATCAGCTGTGCTACAGAAAACCCTTCTCAGGGCTGTGTTTTGGCTGCAAGAGCTCGGTTCACTTATAAATGCATAACTTATCTCTGTTTGTAAACCAGAGACTGTTACAGTCTCCTTGGATAACTCCCAGGAAGAAACTGGAGCTGGATGGAGCTGACTTCTCTTTTTTCATCTCTAGTTCTGTTGGTATGTTGGCAGAAATCCGCATTTTGACCTCTCTGACTTTGCCCTCCTGCGAAGAAATGCTGTTAGCAGTGATGACAGACATGATGTGCACCTCTCCTCCCTTGGCTCAGGTGTTTCTTTCCCTTGGGTGGAGAGTGACTCCTGGGAGACTTGTGCAGCTAAGAGGGTGCACATTAGAGCAGCTTGAAGCTCTGAACCATCAGCAGTATTTCAGCAAGGACAGTAAAAATTACACTGTGAATCACAGTACACAGTCTCAGCTTAATCTCAGCTTCTGATCTGCCTGTGGAGCAAGTTTGGCAGGCGTACCCCTATATGAGAATAGGCTCAACTGGCCACAAAACCATTTTTAGTACAGACTATTCCTCATTTACGCTTAGGACAACAAGCAGCCAAATTTCAAACAGGACCATAATTGCATATTAGTGCTTCCATTGTTCCCCTGTCGTTTTGAAACCTACCCCAGAGCTGCTCCAGAGAAGCCAACAAACCTTCCAAAATTATGCAAATCTTTTAGCTACTCTGCAGTGGTGCTTCTGCTCTGAAACAGAGAAAATGAATAAAGGAGCGTAAACCTATCAGTCATCCTGTCTGTTTGGCTGCACCAGTTAGCAATACATCACGGATGAAATTAAGTTCACTGACGCTTTAGCACCGTGTCTCTAGAAACCATGGTAATTTGTTCAGGCATCAGTTAAGGAACTCTGCTCCTTTCTCTAGGCTCAGAGATTGAAGGCTGCTTCAATCCAGCCTTTTGCTACTGGTTTGCCCTGCTTTACTGAGGTCTCGATGGATCGAGCCAGCCATGCTGGTAGCCTGCCAGGATCCCTTCTCACTGCAGACCCACCAGCAGAAGAGAACCAGCCATTATCTCTTTGGTGATAGGCTTGCACGTGACTTAGGCTGGTCATTATTGTTAGCAGGTTGGGCAGTGAAGGAACAGTGCAACAGCATTGCAGGAACAGTTGTCACAATCACAATATCATTCTTTCTAAGCATGAAAATGAATCATACCTAGGAAAAGGGGTCATTCCCTAGGGCAGCATAGAGGGAGCTTGGCAGTCTCCTCTCACGGTTGTTGGGCTGAGCTCTGACTGACCACGATAAGCTGAGGTATATCTGAGCTGCTAACTAATCCAAATGGCTTTTGTGCTAAAGATGAAATGAATCATCTGTTAATTACCTTCTCCTCTCTGCAGGGGGATGCCAATAGGTCAGACACAGATGAGGACAAGACATCTGCCAACTTTGATGATGATTTTGAGAAGCTGAAAGACCTCCGTGCAACAGGTAGAATCTCGTTTCTGTTTTCCCATGAATTTGAGTTGTGCTACAGCTCTCCTCCACAGTCATCTTCTCCTTGAAATGTATGGAAGAAAGTGGAAGAGTCATTTTTGATTCACAATTAGTCCGATAGTTGTGTTAACAGAGCAACTATGTGAAGAATGTTGGGAAGATAAATGAGCACTGATGTTTCCTTTAAACAAATGTCTTTCCTCATTCCATCTTTAGTAGAATATTTAGTTATGTCTTGTCGTTTCTTCTGTATCATTACCACAAAACAGTTTGCTGACAGCGGTATTCTCACACGACTTCTCAGCAGCTTTTCTGATCAATCATGTTCTCGTCTGTTCTTTTTGATTCCTCTCACAAGAGCATTTAGGCAAGGTTTGATTGAAGGAAATGGTGCTGGTTATTTGTGTTGCAGGGGGACCTGACAACTGGTTTGAAGTAAGTCCACACTGTACTACTGCATGTAGTACTGCTGCACAATAAGCATGGGATAATAGGTGATGGTTTTCACTCAGTAGTGTTTGCAGCAAGTAGGGGAATGGAATGGATCAGGTTTTGAAAGAAAGCGAGTATTACAGTGGTAAACAGGAGCCAGTTTAGTTTCTCTGTGTTTTTATGCTCAGCTTGGGCTTTTGTTAGGATTACTTTAAGTGTTTGTAAACTAGGGGTCATTTCAGCTAAGGAAATGATGCTGATTTTGGTGAACAGATGGAATTCGGCTTAGGAAGAGGCAGAAGTAATTTGTTGAGGAAGCTGAGATAGAGCTAGATCACAGCAAGGTGACATGGCTACTTGGACTGCAGATCAAATAACAAATTCCAAACACCAAATGAGAAGAGGAATCTCCATTGCAAATAGCTGGCAAGGGTAATTTAAGCTGCAAACAGCTTAAGTTTCCTTTGCACCAACTATTTGATGGACAATTTCAAATAATAAGAGCGCTCTATGGGAAAGAAATATTTTCACCTCTTCTCAGGTAGTAGAAGAACAGAAAACAGGGCTCAGCTTATTGTCAGTCAAAGTCCATGGGAAATGATGTGTCTCCATAAGCCTCCTATTTGCCAACCAGTGACTAAACAGCATAAGGACATTAACAATTCTATTACAGTGCTGTTGGTCTGTAAACAAATACACTGGCAAGAGGAACGTGTATTGCAGATGAGCAAATTTTGAGCTGGATCTTCCACCCCTTGAAGTGAGTGGCAATGTTCCCAGGGACTTCTGTGGTGCAGATCAGATGTTTGTGTCCAAGCCAGCAACTAAACAGATGATACAGTAGAAGCACATTGCATTACAAAAGCAGCCAGTGAAGGAGAAATAGCAGGGGTAATGCACTTACTTGGATTTCTCGCTGCAGACTTCTCCATCTTTCCTGCCCATCACAGATGGTCCCATCCTTTGCCCTCTATAGGATTGTGATGCTACAGTTATTAAACCAGAATCAACTAAATCCAGTAAAACTAGAGTTAGTTCAACTTCACTCTTGTGTTTGAAAGTAGGCTGATGGTTTGGGGTATTACTGCACTCTGTAGGGCCAGAGACATTACATCTGGCTTGTCCTCGGTTTGAATACAGTTGCAGCAGTCCATACGTGCTTTACAGCTGAAACACTTCCTACATTACCACATTCGGATACACCATTCAATTTCTCTGTTACAGAAGGTTTATTCTTCTAGGCATGTAGATGTTTAGAAGCCGTTTCCATTTCCTGCCCTCTGCACAGATGACTAAAGGCAGTGACTAATGTTTGCTTCGTGCCTTCCACGCAAAGGAGCTCAGAGCACATCAGAACAGCATAAAAATCTCTGCACAGGAGGCTATGTCAGGGACTGACTTTGTAGGGTGAGTTTAGCCAGTCCTCAGTGGCCTTTACCTGGAAACTCTCACTCAGAACCAAAAAACTGTGACTCCTCTCTCCTAATCCCCAGAAACACCGAACAAAAGCAGTTCCCTTTAGAGAACACTGTGGCATTTGCCTTGTGGTCACTTAATCTCAGTATTCCTCGCAACTTTTCATCTCAGTTTGGCGGAGTTCCCGAAAAGACCCAAAGAACAATGTTTTGATGAGTGATTTCTGTCGCTCTGGCTAAACATCCACCATGTGTTTTCTCTCCCCTTCTCTCCAGAGATGAAGATGTACTCACTTGCCGTCACCCCGAATGGGCACCTGGAGGGCAGGGGCAGCATGCCACCCCCTATAATCATGCGCACCGCTGCCACACCGATGCCCACACCGAAGTGTTCCCCACACATGGATTCAGTGCACACTTTTGTGGACTCAAGGAGAGGGAGTAATGCTTCTCTAGATCCCCTGACCTACGATCAGAAGTCCTCGGTAGGTTTTCAAGGCTAACTACCCTCTCTCAAGTGCCTGAAAGTAGCACAGGTATTGCATGCACAAAGTTCTGTACAGTGATTCTGGTGCTGCCACAACTCAGCGGGGGCAGCTGCTGTGTTTCTCACTGTGTGTTACACTGCTGTAAAATGGAGAAGGCAGAGGGATGGGAAGTACGCAGAAAGGCAGGAGAACAAATTCCAGAGGGAGAAATGAGTGGGTGTGGGACACTGTGGCAGGACAGTGACAGCATTACATTCAAGGACAGGGAGTATGTGAAGGAGGCAGAGGGGGATGCACTGGGATTCAGTGTTTTCTTGCCCAATGTCTGATCAGAAGTCCATGCCAAGCCTCCTCCCTAGAGAGCAGCAATGTGAAATAGGTTCATGCAGCTGGCCTAGCAAACCACTCTGAGGAGATGCAGGCACCTTCTGCCAAACCTGCTGGCCATGCTATGCTGTCATGGTGTCAAGTGTACCCGTGGAGCATAGTGAGATCAGTGTTTTAGGGTTGGAGCTGGAATCTGCAGGAAATGAAGCATTTGACCCCCAACAGCTGAGCTCCCTTTACTGCATGGCAGCCCTGTTGGAGGGGAAATAGAAAAAGCAAAATGTAAGCAGACTGATTGCTACTGGGCACAGCTCACGGAGCAGAGATCAGGCTGGAGCTGGCTGGTGTGGCAACTGATTGTATTTTGCCTGCAACCAGGGAGCAGGAGGGCAGCTCTGAGAAAACAGAGGGAGCAGAATTAATAGACAAAGTGGATTTCTGCTGCTGTTTATCTGTCCTATTCCTCTCCTCTGTAACTGCAATATCATGTCCAAATCAAGGCAGCAGACTGTGAAGGCACTTTATGCAGACAGTCACTATCCCTTTGGTAAGCTGCTTAGTCAAGGTAGTGCTTTTGAAAAGAAAATAGAGATGACTGCTGTTTGCCTTGGGGTTTCATGGGATTGTGAGTAGTTGGAGAGGGTTGTTCATGGTTTGAATACTTTCTCTGAGAACACATCAGTGCCAACAGCCAAAGGAAGATGAAGCAGTCAAAGGAGAGCTGGCCAACACTGAGGAACAGGAGGAGAAAGGCAGTTTGCCTTGTTTCTGTGCTGGGAGGAAGCCATGAAGGGAAAAGGAATTTTCCTTCTAGTCTTCCTGTGCTGACCTTAAGTGCTCTTAGTGTAGCAATCACCTGCCATCCAAATGGCACTAACACACTGCTCACAGCCAGGAATTCACTGTGAGAAAGACATTCATTCTACCTCCTTATGCAGCAAATTGAAGAGAAAGCAATGCAAATTTGGGCACAGTTTCCAAGTGACACATGGGTGACTGGGTGCCAGCACCCTTCTGGAAGCCAAGGAGGTTGTGTGCTGAAACCACTTGGATGTGAGGAAAGAAAATGCTGTTTTGGCAGTTAGCATCTTTGGGTTTAGTTCTTATGCACAACTGACATTACCAGGACAGTAGGAAGTGATAAAGCATGGAGGTTTGGTAGCTGTGCTGTGGGTGTAGTTCAGGGAGTGCCTTCACAGTGGGTGCCTGGTTCCCAACTAAAGACATTGGTGTGAGGAAGTTGGAGCAGTAAGGAAAGCTGGAATGGGAAGACACGCTTTGCAACAAGAGGGATCTTCCAATCTGGAGAAAATGCCATACCCTTTACTTCTTCCTGCAAACAAACCCTCAAATGTCTTTCTCCTCTCTCAGTCCAGCCTCCGCAGTTCCCCTTGTGCCAACTGGGGTACCAACAGCAACTGGGGAAGCCGACGCTCAAGCTGGAACAGCCTGGGCAGAGCCCCAAGCCTCAAGAAGAAGAACCAATCTGGTGAAAGAGAGTCTTTGCTCTCCGGAGAGGGGAAAGGCAGCACAGATGATGACTCCGATGACGCCAAGTCCAGCACGGTCAGCAGGCCCTCACTGCACCGCCGGGCAGAGTCCTTGGATTACCGCAGCTCCCTAGACCTGCCCGAGCTGCTGCAGCTGCCCCCCATGCGCCATTCGCTCAGTATCAGCCCCATGGCTGTTCTGCCTGCTGAGTACCAAGACTGCAATGGCAAGATGGTGCACGTCCCCAGTGAGTTCTTCCTGCACATCGATGGCCACAAGGAAGAGGCTGTGGACTATGAGGATGACATGGAGGATGTAAGCTGAGGGGAAAATTGGGTACTCGTGCATTAAGTGGCTGCTTAATCGGCCACTTTTAATCAGCCTGCGCTCCAAGAAGGCTGATTAAAAATCCGGCTCCAGCTCTGATGTGTTGGGGTCTGGTGGCTGGTGTAGATAAAACCAATCTATGGCCTCTGTTTCCCAAAAGGTCTGCACACTAATGGTGTGGGCTGTTACATTGCAGTGGTCTCTAACAGAATGTGCTGGCATTTACCTATTTTTTTTTGTCTGGCTGCTATTGTCGTCTTGGGCAGGAAGCCTCCAGAAATGAGCTGTAGATCACAGAACTCATGACTTTGCTCTCAGGAGCTGTTTGGTATCTTGAAGGCTTGGAAGTTCAGAAAGAGTGTTCTCTTCACTGTTTAACTTCGTGATTGTTTGAGGCTGTTTTGGTTCTGACACGGCTCTGGATCTCAAAATGATACATTCTTAGAAGCCTTGATTTGTCATGTTTGTATCACACTGTAAAGCAGCCCCTTTCTTCCCCTCCTTTCCTCCCTATTTCACTAGAAAAATATGGCAAACCCTCCCTGTGCCTGCCTTAGCTCTTCCCCAGTGCTGGGACTACCTTCAGGCACTCTGAAATGCCAGGTACTGCTCCCTTTCACAGAAGGACTGTGGAAGCTGAAGAGGCAGGAAAATAAAAGAGGAAGAAAAGGTGTTTCTTCTTTTCTATCCAGAGTTACTGCTACCGGATTCGTAAAGTCCTGGAGCCCTACAAACCAGAGTGGTGCAAGAGTCACGAGGATTGGTCCCTCTACTTGTTTTCCCCACAGAATCGGTAAGAAATCCCAGCCCACCACATCTGGGCAGTAAAGAACTATGACATTTATAGCTGACCTTCCCTTGGGAAAGATCCTTCCAAAGCAGAAGCACTGAGTGTTTTATAAATCTGACCCTTGATTTTTAGGTAACTTTTCTGTTAACTGTGGCAGAATTGTTGCATGGGTCACTCCATGCCTGTCTGGGAACAAGAATGGTTTAACCATGTTTACTCTTCATTTATTTCTGATAATGGTAGAAACTCTGTGCTTGTGGAGGGAGACGAGTTCACCACGTGATGCTGGTGGCACAGCTGCTGGTGGCTTTCAAGGACATGCTGCTCAGGTGGGAGTCTCTCTCCAACCCAAATATCTGAAGGATATTTTTCTTTCCTCCATTTCTCCAGGTTCCGAGTGATGTGCCAGAAGGTCATTGCCCACAAAATGTTTGATCATGTGGTGCTGGTCTTCATATTTCTCAACTGCATTACAATAGCACTGGAGCGACCAGACATAGATCCGCACAGCACTGTGAGTCATTTTATTCCTTGACCTCACTTGAACATCTTAATCTTGTCGGTGAAAGACCCTGAAAAATAGAAGATGTTTGTTTCCTATCCCCTTTAAAAAACATGCTGCTTTTTGCTGGCTTATGTTTTACAGGAGAGGATATTCCTGAGTGTTTCTAATTACATCTTCACTGCAATCTTTGTGGCTGAAATGATGGTTAAGGTAATTACATCTCCATCCCGTGACACATAGTGACTCTTGACAGAGGCTGAAAATCTGACATAGTTATGATATGGATGCAGTTTTAAATGTCCCTCCTCTCCTGGCTGTAGGTAGTAGCTCTTGGCTTTTTCTCTGGGGAGAACACCTATCTACAGAGCAGCTGGAACGTCCTGGATGGAGTTTTGGTCTTCGTATCTATCATAGACATTATTGTCTCCATGGCATCAGCAGGAGGAGCAAAGATCCTGGGTGTCCTTCGTGTTTTGAGACTGCTGCGGACCTTGAGACCTCTCCGGTGTGTTCCTGGATAGAGTTTGTTTTGTGTTCATAAATCAGGACATTGGGAAAGATGTGTATGATCCATCAAGGCATTGCTTAATAACATGAAAAGCTGAAACATGGTATCATCTTTGGGGAGCTCTTGTCTTGTGAAACCGTTTGAAAAGGGTGAAATTAGCTCTAATTATAACTTGTGTTCTCCAGTGTGGAGAAGAGCGGATGGAGTTTGGTGTTATCATACTCAGGCAGTTAGTGCACTGAATGCCTTCTCCAGCCTGCAATTTTATCACCGTTTTACAAATCAGTCTCTCTCCTTGTTAAACTGTGCAACCTCGCAGCCATTCCCAAGCAAGGAGGTAGCATTGGCTGGGAGAGAATTTGCAATTGAACAGGTGCTGATGATAATTTGATAAGCTCAGGCATCTATATCTTCTCTCCTGTGCCTGCATATCTAACATCGCTGCAAAACAATTTGGCTCTCAGCTAGGAATACGATTGAGAGATGCTTTCATTATTTAAGAAAAGAAATAAAGAGAATTTGTATTTTGTTTACAGTGATGCAATAACAGAGAGTGTTAATGCTTGGGGGATTTTTATCAGCTCATGGCTCCTGTTCTATTTCCATCCTGCTCAGCAAGAAAGAAACACAAGGCTTTTTTCATGAAATTTCAGTGGCAGTAAGATAGGTACCTCCAGAGGCCCGTAGGCCATCTCATGAAAAGCTGCTTGCTGCTTGCTTATGAGAATATTAGAAAGAGGCAGTCTTGTTTAGGCCCATGACTGACAGTGCAAGAGCTATTTGTCTGCTGCTCTGTGTTTTTGGTGACAAACAGCTTTATAAGCATTTGCCTCCTCTCCCGCTCCCACACTGTTCTGTTGGTGGCAGCGATGTCCCCTTGCAGTGCTGGCTGCTCTGATCACCTGGACAAACTGTGGCTTGGTTTGGTTGCAGGGCACCTGTCTAACACACGTACCTAGGGACAGAAGTCAGGGCACAGGCAGCTCATAAGAAAACATAAGGGGAAAAAATAATTGGTCTTGGAGAATAACTAGGCCAGATCCTATTAATAGAGAGGAATCCATCACACCTGATGGTGGCTTCACTTATTACAGCTTCTAGGATTCCTCCAGGAACCATTCCTAATGCTTTGTAGGTGCAGCTCAGACAGCCACTTTATGTGCAGCCAAACAAGACCATATTGAAACCCTCTGTCCCTGCAGCATACACTTCTGATGTTTTCTGTGTCTGGCAGGTATGAAAGCCTCATTACCCTGCAATGGCTCTGCAGGCTCCTCCTAAAAAAACCCTTAGTGTTCTTCAGTCAATACACCTGCCTGCCCAGAAAAGCTTGCTCAGGCTGCTTACACTTCTGCATGCAAACACATGTTTCAGACACCTATAGGAGAGCCATTCTCCAGGCACTTAAACAGAAAAGGAAAATACTTGCTCTCCACAACACCTGCTCCAGGCTGTGCTCAGGGCATGCCTGGCCTCTTAGCACCTCACAGCAAGCAAACCATGCTGCTCTTTACTGGGATGACCTTTTGGCTGTGGAGCTGTTGGTCGCAAGTCCGCTCAGGAACTCATTGCTGCACAAACTGAAATTCAAATCAAAATGACTATTTTTGAGATGCTGTCACAAGGCTTGGGCCAGCAGGGCAGCCGAACACTCTGACCTTGCCTTTGAGGCTTCTGGTGATCTCAGTGGTGGCAAGGTGGGCACTGTTTTGTGTCCCTCTGCTCTGTTCACAGGGGCCTCAGGGGACCCAGCCCTCTGGACCAAGCTGTAGTGGGAACCTCCATGATATCTTGCCAGTAGAGAGTATTTCCTCCTCTCTGTTACTAGAAAGTGGTTGCCCTACACAGCGTCTTACACTTTTAATTCCATCTAACGTAACTGTGGATGTTCTGGTTGCCTAATTTCATTAGTAATCATCTCTGAATGCTGCCTGCAGATAGAGAGGGGCTGTGATAGCTTCACTGCAGCCCAAGCAGGAGAGGAAAAACAAACATACAATAATATGAAATGCATTTAAAAAAAAAAAAAAAAAAAAAGGCTTCATTGTTTTGCTATTTTTTCAGAGTCATCAGCAGAGCCCCAGGTCTGAAGCTGGTGGTAGAAACCTTGATCTCCTCCTTGAGGCCGATTGGGAATATTGTTCTCATCTGCTGTGCTTTCTTCATTATCTTTGGGATTTTAGGGGTGCAGGTAGAGTATTTCCCTCATCACTGCCGTCTGTAAGCAGCTGCTGCCAGAGTTTTTATCACCTGGGGTTAAGATGGAAGTAATGAGTTTGAATCTCTCCAGGAGAGGATTTCAATTTGTTGTTAGGAAAGAAAAGGCAGACCCTAAAAGGAGTGCTCATGGGTGGGGTTGACATCTGCTCATTGGAAGGTGCACAAGATAGAAGACAAGACCTCTCTGGCTAGGGGAAGGGAAAAACAGATTCCAGCTATCCCGCCTGGCTCTGTGTGCTGGGATTTATAGGATAGCTCTTCCTCTAGAGGAGAGATTCTTATCCCCCATCAGAACAGAGCAGGACTGAAGGATCTCCTTCCTACTGTTGTGTCTGAGGCAAGAAGCAACTCTGTCTCAAGACCTGAATTTTCACCTGAGTTTGTTTCCTGCTGTGTGCGTTAAGACAGGTGTCTGAGCTGGGAGGAAAGAAAAGGAATTTGAACTTGGCAAAAAGTTCTACCAGGGGACAGAAAGATAAATCAGGGGGACAGATTTTCCATAACTGCTCCTTTTTTTTTGTTCTTTTTCTTTCTTTTTGGCTTCTCAAATACAGCTTTTTAAAGGCAAGTTCTACTACTGTGATGGTCCTGATGTGAAAAACATCACTACGAAGACTGACTGCACTAATGCACACTACAGATGGGTTCGGCGGAAGTACAATTTTGACAATTTGGGACAGGTAAAGCCCTCACTGAGGGATTTTTTGTACCAGTTTTTAGTAAGTGAGCATTTAAAATGTATTTTTTGAGAAAGGTGTAGAACATCGATCAGAGGAAGCTTCCAAGAACAACGTAGATATCATCAATCAGAGACAACTCTGACTTTGGGAAGGAATGAATCAGGTCACCTGTTGATGTTTTGCAATCAGACTGCCTAAAGTTATACAATTTCTCTTTAATAAGAGAGTTTTGTCTTAGAAGAGCTGTTTTTGCATGCAGTCCCTTTTGTGTGGATCTCAACTGTCACTTTTAATCTTTTGGCTTCCAGATGTTAGATTTACAAATGAAAAAACAATAAGGTCTTCTGTACTGTAGGAAGCCCATATAGAAACTGGGGTGTATGATTACTTTATCAAACCTCATGACATTTGGCCAGCCTGATATCGATTTTTAATCATGCTTAAGCAACTGGGCAGCCTGATGTGGCTGAGCAAAAATCAATCTATATGTGAGGGAGAAGTAGTGTTAGCAGTTTGCTCACTTTTAAACCAGACATGCAAACAGGTAAAACCAAACCACAGTATATTGCATTTCTCCACCAACACCGGGCCAGATCATGTGTAAGGAGCTGTGCATTGTTTTGTTGCGCATTGCCCCTTGCTAGTTTCCTCCTTGAGGGCTAAAATGCTAGAACAATCTTCCCTGCTTTTCTTCTTACAGGCTCTCATGTCCTTGTTTGTCCTTTCCTCCAAAGACGGCTGGGTGAACATCATGTATGATGGTCTGGATGCTGTGGGTATTGACCAACAGGTAATGTACCAGGAGATTAAAAGTGCTGCCATCAGAAATTCCATACTTGGGTGACTGGTTTTTGAAGTTCCACAAGCTGCATACGTTTTTATCTCTTACTTCATCAAGCATCAGTGATACACCCAGTCAACCCTCATTTTTGTAGAATCATAGAATCATGGTAGAATCATTGGATCAAGTGCCAGGGAGGAGCAGAATTGTGGGACCTACTTGTGGTCCATGTCAGGCTGCCAAGGGTTTCTGCCCTCCACTGAACAGCTCTGTTAGTGGCTGCACCCCTTGTAGTATACAGCCAAGCACTGATGAGGATTTTAATTACAATGATAGTTCGTGAGTTGTCCCATGTGTGCTATTGCACTGTGGCTCCATGGAAGACCTGATGAATATGAGCAAACATGCATGAGATGGGGAGACAACCAGAGATGTCATGAAAGAAGCATTCTGTGATGTGAGACATCAGCAAAGGTTAGTCAGGAGTCTTCTGTGAGTAGTACCTGATTGTAACTACTTGTAACTCTTTGCATTCAGTTTTCTGCTGCTTTAAAATGTCCTGTAAGAAAAAAGAAACATTAACAGTGAGCACTTATCTCAAAAAAATAAGCTGAAACCTGTCTTTACCTGAAAAAAAACCACCCAGGTGGTATGATACAGATGCACTGAGATTTATTTTAAGCTATGTGAAGTAAGTGCCAAAATAAATAATTTCCATAAGCCAAGTTATGGAGACTAGGGCAGGTTTTACAAAAAAAAATTACAATTCCAGTCAGTAAAAAATGAATAGGAGGAAAAATGTAAGTCCTCCCAGCACTCTCCTCCTCCCCACACAGCTGTACAGTACTGTCTTTTAGCTACGTGGTACCAAATACACCGACTTGCACACATCTCATCCACATCACTTCTCCTCTCTCTCATTTTTTTTCTCCTCCACCTCACTAGCCCATCCAGAACCATAACCCTTGGATGCTTCTCTACTTCATCTCCTTCCTGCTCATCGTCAGCTTCTTCGTGCTCAACATGTTCGTGGGGGTGGTGGTGGAGAACTTCCACAAGTGCCGGCAGCACCAGGAGGCAGAGGAGGCCCGGCGTCGGGAGGAGAAGCGTCTGAGACGCCTGGAGAAAAAGCGCAGGAGTAAGGAGATGTACCTGTCTGGTCGGTAGACTGCGTTACAAACCAAAATCTTTCTGAGCCCTGCCTGCTCCCAAAGCAAGATTTTTCATTTCTCTTTGATTTTGTTTCCGTGGGATTCCAAGAGGCTGTTTTGCTTCGTTACTTGGTTGGCAGTACCTTAAGTCTCAGGTTGCCAACACCCTGGAACTGTCCTCTACAAGCCTGATGTAAAGCATTACCTGTTTACTTGGCTGGGGAGCAAATCCTCCTCCAAGCAGAGTCCTGTAGCAGGAACTGGTACACTCTGCAAGGCAAAGGTGTCCCTAACGCTCCCAAGCACCAAGCAGAAGCTCGTGGTGTGACTGAGGGATGCAGTGAGTAAACAGCTGCAATGCTTGCTGTGCATGTGAGGGCCAGTCCTGAGGGTATCCCTGAGGCTTAATGTGCCGCTTGCATATGATGATGGTGATGGTTTGATTTATCAATTCTTTTCTTAGCCCAAGTAGTTGTGATGCTTTTTAGCGTCCTAGTGCATGGCCCCGCATGCTACAACTATGATGCATGAGGGCATGAACATACCAAGAGCCCTCAGATGGGGCTGTCCAGAAAAGCCTTCTTGGGAAGATGTCCATTACAAGAGATGCTTGCCCCATCACAGGCTGGGGGAAGTCCTTCAGTGCTACATGCTGGCACTCTGTTGTGCAAACAGTATATGTGCAAATATTGGCCAGATGCAGGACCATTAAGGTGAAACAGAAAATCTTTAGCTGAAATCTGCTTTCTAGTGTATTTAGTAAGAATCAGACCAGACCAGAGAAACACTGGAGCACGTGCTCCTTTCCTTACTCAAACCTTCCCAGGGTTTCTCATGTATTAATTCTCACCTCCACTTCTCCTTGGCAGGCTTCACCAGGGATAAACCTATAGCAGCTGGAGAGTATTCCCAGGGAAACCGCCGGGAAACCCGCCACAGTAACTTCCCAGGCAGTTCTAGCAAACAGGGATAGCCTGTGTTAGATGCTGGCAAGCATTTTGCAGAAGTAAGCAAGGAGACTTGGCCACTGTGATCAGGGATAAGGCTGAGTGCTTCTGGCCCTGCTTGCCAGAGAAAACTCTTTGCCTAGCACTATGCTGTGTGTGAATTCTCTTGTAAGGATATAATATCTAATTGTGATTAAATGGCTAGTTGTCTCCCAAACATCAACCCATAGGTATTCATTCTAAGCAGAGAAATTGCATTTAGATTGAATAGTCTTTTGTCTGGATGTAAAGACGTAGCAATCAGAGGTTTTGCTGACAGAAACCCCATCCCTAGCCAATTCCCTCCATTCATCCACACACTTGAATCAGAAGGCAGGCAGCTCTATCCCTTGCAGCTCCGCTCCTGCTCTTGTGCTTCCCTTTATTAGAGTCACAGGAGACCTCAGCACTAATTTCTGCACCCTCAGGGCCTTAATGACAGACTGACCTGGCACCCGACTGAAGGCCAAGCCCATTTTGTGTTAGCTAGTTGTGAGTTAAGAAGGTGGGTTAAAATCAAACCTCGGTCAAACTAGCCAGTCACAAACAGCCTCTGAATCTCTTCGAAGATTTAGAAGAGTTCAAATGCAATTTCATTTCTCTTTTCCCATCTTGTTCTTTAAGTTTGTTTGGGGCTCCAGCTAGAATTAGAAGAGGAAGCCCTGAAGGCAGCATTTCAAGCATGATAAAAGCAATCAGTTTCAGGCTCCCTGAAGGAGAGTAGGAGAAGTCCTCCTGCATGTGCAGTTCTTCTACCCCAGAGTGCTGACCCAAGAAGATGCTCAGATAAACTCAAAGGTTATATGCAGAAAAAGAACTTCTATGCGGACAAAGAACATAAAGCATCCTTAGAGAAAATAGATCGAGGCACAGGTAAGGTGGGGTAGCTTATCCACAGCCAATTGTTGTCCCTGATTAGTAAGTAAATCTTATTACAAGCACGTCAGTGGCTCACCGCTCAGGCACTGAAAAAGCCAGTCCTTGTCAAAGTGATGGACACAGTTACAGTTACAGGACAGTTACACTGTCCTTTAGCCAGCTAGATGTAGATAGGATGGAGTCAAGAAGACGTTTTGTGCTGCAGACCAAAGCACTACGGAGATGTAGGCTGTAACAATTCATTGAGAGCACACGGGGAGGAGGACAGCTTTCTGGAAGGGGATCAAGTCCAATAGAGCAAACAAGAGTCTAACCATTTGGCCACGTGCAGGGCTGCTGGGAGGTTATGTCCGATCATCTGGCTCTGAGGTCTCCTACCTGCCTCTGTTCAGCCTGGAGAACTCAGCATCCAAGTTTGCGTTGTTAGCGGGGCAAAATCAAATATCAGATACACGTATTGGAGGTTTGTTATATAGATTTGAATGTTTGGGGTTTTTTATTCAAATGGGAGGGGTTTTCTCCTCCTGGGTAATTTAGAAAATGATTGTATTTGGTTTAAAAAAAAAAAAAAGAAAAAAAAGGAGCAGTCTCAGAAAGATGTAAGATGTGGTTGGTGATGTGTGGCCGTGAGTCTGCTGGAGTGCTAATGTGTGTGTGCTGGCATGGGATGCTGCACAGTGATGAGGGGCAGACTGCCCAGCTTGCCATGTACCCCATCTCAGTGCTTCTCACCCACATGGGAGAGTGGGTGGGAGAGAGCCCAGTCCCCATGGGACAGGATGTTGGACAGCAGACTGGTGGTCCTGCAGAGGAGGCAGGAAGCCACGATGGGCAGCCTAGCCGTGCTTTTCCTTCAGCTACTTGAAGAGATGGTAGGGGAAAGAAGAAGTAGGGCTGTTAACAGCAGCCTCCATCCATCTGGAGTTGCCCATGTGTGCCACCTTGTCATTGTGTCCTTTCTGTTGTGGAGCTGTGATGTCTTCAGTGTGTGGTGACCCTGTGTGTGTTTCTGTGTATGGAAATCTTTGGGCACCTGTAGGTTTTCCATGCAGGATTGCACCATTTGGGCATAGTAGGCTGCAGCTCAGGACTGGAAAAGATTTAAACCTCAGCTTGTCACCCATCCAAGCAGACCCAAGGAAGGAACTGTAAGCTGTGCAGGCTGGATCCAGGGTTTGGACCCAGTTGAGCATGGCCAGCAGTGAGAGGAGGGAGCTGCCCCTCTGCTTATCCCTATCACCAGTGTCCTGACAGCGCCCTTCTGGGTGCTTGTAGTGACTCATCAGTTCCTATCCCTTTCTCCCCTCCCATCACCTTTTGGTGAGTGCTTTTGTAATCCATGCACCACAGACACTGTTCATGTGCAAAATAGGTGCAGCAGCTCTCCAGCACGGCAGTAACCAGTGGGTTTGCCAGTTAAGTCTGCTCACATGAAAGAAAAAAAAAGAAAAAAAAGAGAGCGGGGGTTGAATACACCATAGAAATGTATTTGATGTGTTTTTAGAGATAGAACTGCATGGAGTATTTTTTTTGCAAAGATAAACTAGAATATTTTTCTGACACAGTCCCTACCTCCATCAGCTCTATCTACCACTTAAATAAGTGTGCAGTAATTTAATCATCCTGCCGCTCCTAAGCCTTTTAATGAAGTTCTCAGAAGACACCGACTGAAAGCAGCCTCCCCAGATTGAAGTTTCTGATTAAAGTCACATGGATCGGTTTGATCTCCTCTGCCTTCGGCACACGGGGCCAAACCCAACCCACCTGCATCTGGTGAAGCCAGCAGCCGCTGAGCAGAGCAAGGTCGGGTCAGACACAGGCGGTACCTTGGGCTTCAAGAGCTGAAAGTGGGTCTGGGGGACACTGTGTGCCAAAAACAGGGCAGGAAACTCCAATTGTGGCATCTCCCAATACAGAGCCGAGCATCTGGGCTTTGTAGAAGCAAGAGGCTGGTTTTGTTTTAAGACCCGACATAGATACCTTTCAGAGCACTGACTGTAAGCCTTTCTCTCTAGGGATGAGCAATCATGGGCAGCACACAGTGGTATTTAAATCAGCCCATCTCAATGCCGTGCATCCAGCAGAAACATCTGAGCTGTAACTAAAAATTCAGGCACTGCATATCTTAGCGTTTAATATTTCCAACTAGGGAATTATCAAACCATCTTGCTTATTTTTCCAGGCAGCTGCAGGTATAGAGCTAGTCTGTGCCAAGCATGCTTATAAAGCCATTAGGGCTTTCTAATGTTTCATGCAGAGGAGAATAATGGAGGAGCTTTAGCAAGCAATTGTAATGCCAACCTAAATGCTTTTTAGCTGGGAGACAGTGCTTCATTAATTTTTATGTCAGCAGAATCACAAGCAAAGAAGTTTAAATACTCGTCAGAGAGGTGAGTTCCAAGCATTAGGCAACATTCAGAAGTGGAAGCAAGACAGGACTGTGGTTTTCCTTTTGTCTGTGTTTGATGGTGTTCCCTTTCCCTCCCATGTTTCCACCAACTCAAACCATCAGCTGCAGCTGCAGGGATGCTTGTCTGCATTTGATGTTTGTCTGCCAGTTGGCCGGCTGGAGTCTGATCACAGAAGCTGTTTCTGTGGAGCAGCCAGGCTCAGGTTGCATTCTGCCTGCTCTAATTAATGATGCATTCAGTGTTCCCTGTTTGCAGTGCCCAAGTACCCACAGTCCAGGTTCTGCAGAGCCCACCTCTCTGGTTGAGCAGGCTGTAGCTGCAGGTGTGTGCAGTGAACACTTCCACCCAAACTGCTGGAGGGTCTGAGCTGCAGTGTAGCTACATTGACTGATCTCTCTCTGCTTTCACCCTCCTGCAAACCTTTTGCCATCATGGGATTGCCCCAGCCTAATACCAGCATCGCCAAGAGCAGAAGCTGCCTTGCCCTTCCTGCACTGCCCTGCTCACTACCATTAGCCTCGCATGAGCAGTATCTCCTCTAATGGACATTGCATGGGTTGCTGCACTGAGTATGACAGTGTTGTTGCATGTGTTTCCAAGCATTGCCAACTGTATCGCAGACTGTCCTTGTGTGTGTACCCCCAGGAGATGTTTTTTTCATCCGTTAATCTGGCTTCAGGGGTGCAGAGCACACTAACCCTGAAAGGCGTTCCCCAGAGCTCCCTCATCCTGGCTGAAGGTAAACCTGTCCCAAGTTTCATGGGCAGCCAGATGACCAGGGCCAGCAGGGTATTCAGATACGATCCAGATACTGCCCACCATTGCTAGTGTTCTCCTGAGGTCTGTTAGTTAATTGTTAGTCCTTAATAAGTAGACCCTTACTATATATACAACCTATTGTGGGTATTCTCAGACCTTCCCAGAAGTTGTTTTTTCAGTTTCCAAAAAGACATTTACAGGGGAAAAAAGGAAAAAAACAACAACAAACCAAGCGTGTCAAAATCCTGAACACACACAAAAGCATATTTTACAGACTTTAGTAATATTTTATATTTTTATGATTGCTTTTTAGACACACCAGATCAGCCGAGCTCAATAGCAAAGAGAGTCCAAGATGGCCGGTAGGACTTAGGCACATAAGCAACATGTAAATGGATTCAAAAACAGCTGTGTTTTCTTTCACCTTGCATTCCCACACCCTTCAGCAGAAAAAAAAATAAGTCTGTGTGACCTCAGTCTGAAAGAAATGTTTTCAGAATGCCTCCACTCCACTTTTAACTGTCATAAAAAATAGAGTAGTTGAAAGAGAGCAGCAGATTCCATTTCCTTTTATCTCATTTATTTTAAGATTTTGGACTCTAATCTGGCATTAGATGCACTACCAATAAAAAAAAAATCAAAACCAACCACATTTCAAGAGTCACTCCATCTGAAAGATATTAACAAGATGAGAGGAGTGGATTATGTATTTCACGAGGGCACTGAGTGCTTTCAACCTCATTTCCCTCCCTATTTGTAAGGTGAAGAGATACCCTTTTTGCCAACTGTTACTACACATAAAGCTGAATTTGCTGAAATATTTGCAAAAATGCCCTTTTTATTATGAACAATCCTGCTCCAGCATAGTCTCTTCCACTTGCAGAACTTGCACTAATGCTGAGTTTGATCTTGAGTCCACTCTTTGAATACTTACATTTCTTAACTTCAAAAAGAGAGTCCATCTGAGTGCCCTCAGCCAACTCATGGTCACAGCCTAATTTAATAGATGCATGCAGTAAATAGAATTCAGTCATGGGGCAGCGTCCAAACGCTTGCCTTGGAACAGCCCTGCAAAATTGGTCGTGTGCAGAAGTTTCCCTATTTCAAAGAGAAGAAAGGAGCCATGACCGGAGGCAGAGAGATAAAATTAATGCAGTCAGAGCCTGAATGTTTTCTAGATGCAATCATGCCCTTATTATATTTGCAGAGGAGCTCTTCCTGATGATGTCTGTAGAGAGGAGCGCTGAGCACCCCGCTCCATTGCTGGTGATGCTGTCCTGTGTGCTGTAACCCTCACGCATGTGCTCTACTTTGCCACAGGCATCGCTGTGTTCTCTGTAGACCTCAATGACACACCAGAAGCCTTCTCATGCAGATGTTGAGCTCAGGTTATGTTTTTCTCTTACTTACACGTAACATGTCAACAACTGGTTGAGAAGAGATGTGTTGGAGTCCCGAGCAATAAGACCTGCCCTGGGCCTTCTCTCTAAACTGGAGTTGAAGCTTTGCTGGATTTGGAGCTTTTTGGTTCTCATTTCCATCCTGCTTGCCACCCTTCCTGGTTTGTGACAGAGTCTCATTACGTGAAGGTTGTCCCCTAGCTTGAGGTAGAGCAATATGAACAGGGAACCCTGGGGAGAAGAGGACCTGGCTGTCAGTGCTGTGGGGGTCCCTTCTGCAGACCCAAGGAGTTTGGCTCAGCCTGAGATCCACACAGTGGTTCTTAAAGACCTCACAGCTGAGTAGAGGCGTTTTGCCTTCAATCAGGTGCTCCAGTCAGTTCTCCCAAGGACTTTGCCTGCACTGTGTGTGTAAGGTGTGGTTGTGAGAGCTGCCAAGCCAGCAGCAGGGCCTGTGCTCATTGCGTTGCCTTTCTTTGTCTTTTCCTGCAGAAGCCCAGCGCAGGCCTTACTACGCTGACTATTCTCCAGCACGGAAATACATTCACACCCTCTGCACCAGCCACTATCTCGACCTCTTCATCACCTTCATCATTGGAGTCAACGTCATCACTATGTCGATGGAGCACTACAACCAGCCAAAGGTAGGAGCCATCTGTCAGTGTGTGAAACGCAGCCACGTGGGCTCAAAACTGTACTTTTGCTAAGAAAACACTGGTCCAAATATTTTCTCTTCTTATCCCAGCTCTGACTGACTCTCAGACTGTAAAACAGTGCTGTGTTTTAGTCCAGGCTTTTAGAACATTCTGTTAATGGATATAACAACGAAGCTAATGCATGCAGAGCAACGTTTCTTCAATGAGTTTGAAATAAACCAATTCTAAGTATAGCCTTTCTTTTTTTTCTTCACATATCCTCAAGTCCTTTTTTCCAAACTTCTGGTATAAATCACATAGCCTGTACATTTGCAGCATATATTAACCTTCCATTGCATTATTTTTCATGGAGCTGTAGGCTTAGTGTTTGCTTTTTCAGTGTTGCACGTTCTGCAGGTAACCTGCAAATGTCTCCTGGGAGTTAAGCCAGGGGGCACCAAGCCACGGGGTAATGTGTGTGTTTTATGCCAGCAGTCTGAATGCTGTTCTGCCTCCATCGTTCCTTTACATAACAGTCACTGTTTCACATGTAAATGTTATTTATCCAGATGAGATCGGATTTATACTTGTTTTACATTCATGTTTAACAGCGTGGTGTAAACCTGCACGCAAACCATCACAAATGGTCCAAGAATGCGGGCTTAGGCAGTGAGCTTTATATGAAATAGAAGATAGTACCACATTCTTTTAACTTAGCTGTTCCATTTTAGGAACAGAAGCAGGGAGAGTGAGTGGTGCACTGAGGATTTCTAGCATCTGAAAAACTTTCAGCTCCTGTTCCCAAAAAATCAGCATTTAGAGTCAGTAAAGCACAGCCATCACACCGGTGTGAGGAGAACAGCTTTCCTGTGGTTTGTGGTCTGCTCTGTCAACAGAGCAGAAAAGCCTTTTTCTCCTCTTCTAATGCATTTTTTTTCCAACTGTGTCTGTTTTGAAGTTCATTGTTGTTGTTTTTTATTGTAAGAGACCTGTACTTCATTTAACTAAATTCCCCTTCCCTCCCTCCTCTCTCCAAATCCTTACTCAACCAAAGAGCTGTTTTACTCTGCAGCAATCTATTTTAAGATCCAAGCAAGATTCTTTTGCTATTGTTGGCCTCTAATTCCAATCAAATCCATTATAAACACTCATCATCTTGAAGTATAAACACTGTGGATTCCTGACTTCCGAGAGCAGCTCTATAGAGAGTGAGCATTGCACCAAATATGGATATATTTGCCCAGCTTTAGAGATGTAAGATTTTTCAAGAAGGCAAGACTTAATCCATCTCCAATATTATATATTTTTCCTGAGTGCTTTAATCAAAGCCATTGTCCTAAGGATTGCCATGCAGGAATGAAATCATCCATTAAGGCAGCTCAGAAAAAGTAAACTTTTTTAGTGGGAAAGTGATACAATTTTCTCTCTGTCCCAGACCCTGAGCAATTTGTGTAGTGAAGTTGGAGGACTGATGGCTCTTACTGTTCTTAGCACATCTAATATTAGTGCTTATGAAGGTTTGGTCTGCATCAGTGTCTAATACTGTGTTTTGCTGTGTAATTTAGTGTAATTTTGTACCAGAGTTCTGCAGTCTATTACGTCATTAATTCTTACATCTCTGTGCTTTTCCATCCTTGTGTCTGCCAGTCCCTGTGCACTGGATTGAGGAAAGGGCAGATTGATTTAATTGTTGCCTCTCCTTTCAGTCACTGGATGAAGCCCTGAAGTACTGTAACTACGTGTTCACCATAGTTTTTGTGTTCGAGGCAGTCCTGAAGTTGGTGGCATTTGGTTTTCGAAGGTTCTTTAAGGACAGGTGAGAGTATTTTAAACTCCTTTGTAATTGGGACGGAGCTGTAGTGACCCAGTTTCAAAGCCAGTTGCTGAATAAATGTAGCATCACTACAGTAGTACCGCATGCTGTGCGCAAGGGAGAGCAAAGGGCTGCCTCTCCATGGGTGCAAACTTTATAGTATCGGAACTAAAAATCCTAAAAGCAGCTGGGACTGCTTTGCAGAGGGAATTCAGGAAATCCTACAAAATCCGAGACCCCCTCCTTCTGCCATTATCTGCCTGTCTGTCAGACATGACCAGCTCAGCCTAGCGGTCAGAAAACCTGTTGGCATTAATGTAGTCCTCAGAAGAGTAGTTTTGGCAGTGTGCACTCACAGTTCTACAGGCAAATCTGCTCTGCTGCTGGACCCACCCATTCCATTGGTAGGCTGCTGGCTTTAGAGAAGCCCTTGGCAAAGGTAAAGATAGTTGTGTTCACCCCACTGCCTTCAGATCCTAGCTTCAGAGGCCTACAGATCATATTCTACCATTCAGCCAGAGGCAATTGTGTGTGAGAGCACGTTGTGGTCTGGCAACTTGCTGGGGAGCAGGGTGAGATCAGACACTTTTCCACAAAACCGGTGTGTTTGTTTCATTTACCCTGCCTGGGCGGTGGAAGCTGCTATGAGAAACGTTGCTTAATAGGGAAATTGCATTGAAAAAAAAGCCTCACATCTCGCTGTATTGCAGCACTGGTGTGGAAGGTCCTCAGCAATTGTTAGGCTATAAATCAGATAAGATACTCAAGTGGAGTAATTTAATTGAAGGAACAGGTGACACAACATGGTAGCAGCTGTGCTGCATCACATCGAAGGTCCATCTAGCCTAATATCTCGTCCCTGCAACTGACTCCAACTGGATACCAAGGGGCAGTAGGAGCCCCAACTTTGGCAGTAGCACTTCCCAGTATAGGATCCCAGCCAACAGCAGCTTGTTGCTCAGGGCTGTGTGCCAGCTTCAGTGAGTTGGTTTTATAGCACATAGAAGATCACGGGCATAGAAGGTATGACAGCAGAGGGACCTTTGGAATTTGCTTGTGATTGATCTTCAAAGTTAATTCTCTGTTTTTGGATGACTGTCAACATGCAATTAATAATTTTTTTTTTTAATTGTCCTTTCTCTCTTTGTCTATTAGGTGGAATCAGCTGGATTTGGCCATAGTTCTCTTATCAATTGTGGGAATCACGCTGGAGGAAATTGAGATGAACGCTGCACTGCCCATCAATCCCACAATAATACGCATCATGCGGGTGCTGAGAATAGCAAGAGGTACGGGCTGCTCCGTAGGTCTTCAGCCATCCCTCCAGACACGTCAGGAAACGGTTTGGCCATTTGTTCTTCTAGTCCTGCTGTTTCAGTTTGGTTTGAAAACAGTTAGGAGATAAGCCTGCAGAACGTTGGTTCAGAAACAAACCAGGTGGGGTTTTGTGGGTGTTTCAAGAGGTGTCTCAGATTGATCTTTGATTCAGACCTGGGCTCACTGTCCTTCTGTGCCAGTACCAAACAAGATCAGGAACTGATAGAGAATCACCAGTGGTGGAGGATCAAAGCTTGAGATGGTGCTTTCTCCCCAGCAAAGTATCTCCCCACTGGTCTCCCATTTTCTTGCTAGGGCATGCTGGAGTTTTTGTGACATTAGGTTTGTTTCACTAGTGTCACTAACGTTAGTTGTTGTGGGATGTAGTAGGGATGTTTGGATTTTCAGTGGGCCCTGCCAGGATGCAGTGAGCTTGCCATCTCTGTGATATGAAAGCAAGAGAGATGGGACCCCTCATTTACAAGGTCTGAAGCTAAATTTCCTTGCTGGGTTCTTGAGATGTTTCCCAGCTCTGCTTAACGGGATTTGATTCTCATTGTAGTGCTGAAACTGCTTAAAATGGCCACAGGAATGCGAGCTCTCCTGGACACAGTGGTACAAGCTCTTCCCCAGGTAAGCTCCCAGACTTCATCCATGCCCAGTTTGTTCCTCTTGACAGACTGTGCCTTTTGGGCCTGGGGATGGCTCTGTGCCATGGGGCTCGGTGGGCACTGGAAGCCAGCTGGGAAGGATATCAGCTTTTTCCATTGCCACCAGCACCTTGATAGAGGAGTTTTGCCTTGTCTACATAGTCTGTGTTAGATGGGAAAAACAGGATGGTGGAAAAAGAGTTAACAGCATGTTGCAGAGAACAGAGAGAAGTTCAGGAAAGACCAGAAGAGATGAAGAAAGCTATTGGTGAAAGCTCTGGAACTAGTTAGCTTCCAGCTCAGCAGGTTTCTTTGGAAGGCAGGAACAGCCACATTTATTGACATGTATTGACAGAGGAGCTGCAGACTTTGAAAGCCAAGTGGGAGAGGAATTTCTGAAAAATGCCTGAAGTGAGGTCTCAAATCACTGAACTCTCATGTGCTGCAAGAAGAACAAAGATTCTGCCAATCTTAATGGCACTTGACAGGATTATTCAAGTGTTCAGTTCCTGGGACTACTTTTTTAAGGATCAATTTATCTGGGGGGGAGGGGAGGGGAGGAAGAAGGAAAGAAGTTTTGCTGACTTGTACTTCTCCCCCCCCCAAAATCTGAAGTGCATCAGAAGAAATCCAAGTAGGTTAGGGCTCCTTTGTTTTTAAAATCTTCCGTTATTTGTGTTCTGCTGGTCTGTGGGTTTGGTGTTCAAATTCCTCATCTTCCTGTCTTTAGAGTTCAGCTGCCTATACATTCCTATTTCATGTAGGAATATATAGCAGGCAGCACTGGAGGTGGGGAAGGGACTCTTGTGGATTTATTCATCCTGAACAAGATGGTGTGAAGATGCTCTGAGATCAGAAAGGAAACTTTGCTGTGCTTTGTCCAGAAATGAGTGCCATTATGGGGTCTCAGGACCTCAAGGATCAAGCAGGGAATTAGTAGGACTAGTGTGTGTAGTTACCCAAATCTACCTCTCTGAGCTCGTTGCTATGATCTATTAAAAGGAGCTAGGAAACAAGAGGAATTTCTTTTTCTTGGAAAGGCCCATCTACTTTTCATCACTATCATAAAGATGTTTCTGATGTGAGACATTTGCCATTTGGTATTCAGATCTCCTTTTCAGTGAAGGAAAGCTCCATCTTGGCTGGGACTGAAGCATGGAATTTACCAACTTGACCCCTGTTTTGGCATTTCAAGAAAGCTTTTGATTTGTGTCTATTATTTTTCTTTTGAAAGCATTGTGATTACAGAGTGTATTTTCTTTCTTCACTCTTTTCTTTCCCCCAAACAATAGGGTGGCTGCAGGCCAGGCTTTTTGTTTCCTCTTGGTGTTCTTGCAGCTAACATTCAAACTGAAGCCTCTTTTACAGGGAAATCCCCAGGGATATTCCAAGCAGATCTGGTGCCACTTTGCCCATCAGTGAAATTCTTAAGATGAGCAGGGAAGTTTGGACAGACCTCTTCCACAGTGGTCACTTCTCATAAAGTTTTCATTTTAAAGGCAGGGGAAGAGTTCCTACTCCAATTATTTTAGCAGCCTAAAACCACAGCTGGAAGATCCTCACTGAATGTACATAAGTGGCAAGAAAAAATAATTCTGTGTTTATTTGCTCAGGGGAAAATTCTTCATCTGGTGTTTGTAGAATGCCCATTTATGGGCTTACAAACATAAGATATTACCATTACAGTACTCATTTTTTTCTTTTTCTTTTGGTTGACTTTCATCAGCTTCTTATTTGGTTTTATTCAACAGCAGAGAGAACCTGAGTAACTCCTAGAGAACCAACTATCCCCAGGCCTGGGGGACATGGCCACTTTGATCCAAATTTGGGGATGTCATAAAACAGGCTGAGTCTCTTCTCGTGGAATACAGACTGACCTCGAGCTTCTGTTTTCCAGTGCAGAAGGACTTCCTGCCCTGATGCATCCTCCTGTTCTATTAAACTGTTGTCTACTCCTATACATAGGCCCTCTCCTTCACCAGGAGTCTGAAAAGAAATGAAATGAAATAGAGGAGAGCACAAATACAGAGGCAAGAGATACACAAAGAGCAGTCAGGGAAAGATCTCAAAATGGCACCATCTTTGTCCACCATCTCCATTCCCTCTTAGCCCCAGAAAGTGTTTGGGGTAGTTTGAATCAGTCATCACGTCCCTGCTGTAGGCCATCTCTGCTTGTGCTGTCCTGGTTCTTTTACCCCCACCACACAGACTTAGGACAGTATCTCCTTTTCAAACAGGAATCCATTTTCCAATTTCACAGCTGGTTGACTGAGAGGTTAAGCTAGTAATGGGGCCAGGGTCACCTAGAAAGGCACTGTCAGCCTCAGCTCTGACCTGTGCTGCACTCTTTTGGAGAATAAAAGAAGCCTGTCATGGACTCTAAAGCACAAATTGTTAAAATCTGCTGCATTGGTGTAAACTTGAAATAGATCCAATGTTTTAAACCAAACAGCTAAAAACAAAGCTGGGTTAGCACGACCAGCACTGACATCACCACTCAGACATTGCAAGACCCAACTCAGCCAGTTCAGGGCTGTTCACAGATTGAAAACTTCCTTGTGACCACAGAGGCCAGCTCCCAGCATAACACAGGGCCCTGAGCTCTGAGCTGGACTTCAGCGTGTCTTAAAAGCCACCCTATCTTGTTTAAGGATGGGAAGTGTTGAGGCATCAGCCGTGCACTGTTGGTGAAATGCATTCTTCCAATGAGTGTATGCTCTTTCTGCTAAAAAAAATCTGGTGTCTTCAATCTGAATTAGCCATGTTTGTTTTTTTCATTGGATGTTACTTTGCTTTTATCTTCAAGATCTTCTTTTTGGAGGTAACAAAAGAGAAAATAATCTCTTGCACTCTCACTAATAGAAGAGCATTGAACTCCTTTAATCTCTCAGTATGAAGCATGTTTTCAAGACGTGTTTCAAGTTTTTTACTCTTCTTTATGAGCTCTGGCCCCATTAAGGTTATGTAATGAATGACACCACTCAAGCTTCAGCTGGCTATTCACTTGCTTATATGTCTGGTGGCTGCATTGGTTTTGTACGCAATGTCTGCACCGTAGGACTCCTATTCAATAGTAATCTTTCAGTCTCTTTCACATCCCCTGCCCCACAATGTACAATTCACTCTTTCTGTAGCATGGTCGGCCCTTGACCCTCAGACTCATAGCTTTGCATTTGGCTGAGTTAAGATGCTCATTGTGTAAGTGGTCCCCATACCGAGCAGCCCAGCTCAGTCTGCACAGCATTTCTAGTATCAGTTGCCAGTAGCCTGCAGCCAGTGCTGAGCTGCCACCACTGCTGACAGCACAAAGCAGAATCCAGCCCAGTTGCCAGCCTGGCTCTGCAGTGCCAACAAGAGGAAAATGTGGATTTTTCCTATCAAATCTTGTTTGCAGAATGGCAGCAGACACAAAGGGAGCAAAGGGTGTTGGTTTATCCATGAGTTTTTTGATGTCATGATTTCACTTCAAGCAAGTAACGTAGGGTTTTTAATTCTGAAGCAGATGAGGCAGTCATGGAATTACAAGGCACAACTGAACAGCTACAAGGACTTGTTTTCCAAGGCAGTCTGTATAGCTTTGTTTTTTTTCTTATGCTCATCTGCACCACTCTAATTCTGCTGCAGTGACTGATTTGCACCGCTGTGACGAGGATTGAGATCCAGCCCATCTATTTAAACAATCCAAGTTCTTTTTCCTTCTTTTTTTTTTTTTTCCATTGGTCTGTGGACAGCACATTAATTAAATGCAGGACTGTCCAGCGTACCTCCTCCTTGTCTTCAAAGCTTGGAACTCCCCCCACATACAGTCTGTGCCAAGAAAAAAAGTGAAGAACTCCTCGTCCTATTCATCCCCTGAAGGACAGCCTATAGTTTGTTCCTGTCCAGGAGTTCAGCTCTTCTTAGTGCTGCAGTTTTCTGTGCTTATCTGTAGCTCTTGAACATGTTTTTTGGCATTGTCTAATGGCAGTTATGGGACATGCACAACCTGTTTTTGCCAGGTGCTGGAAACACAATGACTGTGAAGCAAGAATAGAAATGTCTTAGCAGCAGGCGTTTAGCTGAGTCTGGTTCTGGAAGCTGGGTAGGTAGGTATGTGTTGTGCTACACACTGGAAAGCCTTGCAGAGCTGCCTGAGAGATATCCATGGAGAAAAGCTGCAGAAATCACTAAACAAGGAAACCACTGCTCTGCTGGTTGGTAGCACTGGTCACTGTGGGGCTCAGTGGATACATATTGAGGGGAGCTCATTCCATTCAGCTAGTGACCCTGTATTTGCGCCACTGAGATGATCACAGCCTCAAGCTTGTCTGGTTGGCCCTTTCCCCTACTCCTGGAATTCACACAGATGGTCTCTCTTTTCCAGGCAAATATGCCCATTTTCTCTTGGGTTTAATGCACAAATCAGCCTGTGTTTTCTTGTTTCCAAGCTTATTTTTCTGGTTGAAGAGCGCTGGAAGGAAGATGAGACTCATGTCCTTGGAAAGGATTGGCAGAGGCTTAATTTTATGAGAAATTGCTCTTGACAGGCATCCCTGTGTGCATTGCCCGCATGGCCAACTGAAATGCCAAGGTGTGGGCCAGTGATGCAGAAATAATTGATGTCAGAGCAGTAAGAGGCACAAGAAGAACCTCACTGTGTCTCAACCAGCCACTGCAGGAGTGGGACACCAGAAGACAAATATTTCATCAATGCCTCATCCAGAGCAGGGAGAGCAGAGACCAGTGGGTGCTTGAGGGATTTGGGCAGAATCACACAGCTGGCAGTGCAGCAGAGGAATGATGGTGCCCAGGTGCCTGGTATCAGTGCATTAACAGTGAGCACAGTGACCTGCCTGTAGCACTTGGCATCTCAGCATCCCCAGGGGCTTCCCACGAGGGGTGAACACCACTGTCTTTGTGCAATATTCAGATTAGGACCAAAGGCACAGCAATCCACAGGGGAACTGGCCTTACTAGTAGCAGTGTGATCTAATACAGAGGGAAACTGAGAAATGGGAGAACTCAGATCTCATCTGTTATATCCCACTGACAGCAAGACTGGCCTGTGTCCAGAGGAATGTGTATCACAACTCCTGCAGCCCAGCATCACTTTGTATCACTTAGGAGGCACAGCACTTGCATATCAAGCTAACACAGCTTGGTGTAGTTTCTCTGCAGCCCTGTGCTTGCAGATACTGGCTTTTTACTGGCATAGGTCAGAGGTTGGGTTCTGACAGGACATACAGTGGTTCTACAGTGTCACTTAGGGAGAGGCAGAAAGCTAATGGCAGAGGTGTCTGCAAGAGCTAAAGCAGAGACAGCCTCCCCAGGCCACGCAGGAGTGGTGGGAGAAGGGTTTTGCTGAAAGTGTGGAGAGTGGCTCCATCTTCTCCTGTGGTTTCTCTGAGGTACTTAAGGACACCAACAACATCTCCAAGATGTTCTTCATCTCTGCTGCACTTCTTCCAGGCCCGAGCCTCCCCCCAGCACTGGAGCCACAGCAAATGATGGATAGCCCCTGGCTGACAGAGGCTGGGGTTATTTGTAGTTTTCTCTGCCCAGCCAAAGGCACCAGTCAGGGGGAGCTTGATGGATAAACACAGCATAGGCTGTCCTGTTAAGAGCTGCTAGAGCAGAACCACTTTTCAGAGCCTGCCTGGGTGACTGGCTGCTAAAGCTGAGGTTTCTGACCAGAGTTGGATCTCTGTTCTTGATGGAGATTCCAGCACAGGCATCCCAGCCTTTGGATGCTGGGAAAAGTGCCTGGACGTGCTTCTGCCCCCTCCTGCTCCTTGCAGCTACATGATTCCCATATAGCATTTTTCTTGTCTGGCCTCAGTGGATCTCAGAGTGCTTTAGAGACATTAATTACCCACTCACGGGGGTATTAGAAATCTTGGGTTACAGGAGGGGAATGAGAATGACTCACCCAAGGTCACAGGCTCACATGCAGCCTGCTGTCTTAGCTGTTCAGCAGCTGCTGGCTGACCTCACTGCTTCCACCTCAGCCCATCTTGGGAACGTGCCTGGGGTCTTTCTCTGTGCTCATGCCTTGGTGAAAGCCATGGGCTGATGAGGACCCTCCTTTCCTTTACTGAGTGATGCAGACCAGAAAGCCACACGCTGGGAAAGACAAAATATTAAATCTGGCATTGACTTCTACTGATTCAGGAGAGCCAGAAGCTGCACAAATAGACCAAGTGGTTTTGCTGAAGCACCTGAAAAAGGGGTAATCCATTTTGCTCAGCTGCTTTCTCTTGAGCATCAGGTGTTCAGAGGCTGCTGAGCAGCTGGTACCCTGTCCAAGTCAGGAGCTGTGAGCTCAAGATGTCTAGATACAGGGTTGGGTAGAGTTTAGCAGATGAGGCCATCAGCCATCCCTGGGTCTTTCACTTGCTGCTGTCTCCCATGTGGTCACATTTCCACATTGCTGTCAGATTTCAATCCCTTCCCAAGAGATCCTGTGCATCAGCCAAGCTTTGAAACTGCCCCTTTGACTGCTCTCAGCCCAGGGCAGATGCATCCTCAAACATTTCTTAGCCTTATTGTGATGTCCTGAGCCTACACAGCAGCTCCGTGAGTGCTGTCTGAACTAGTTATGAGACGTGTTTGTTCAGTAATGTAGTTAGTCACAATCTTAAATACACAGTCTTCTACAAATTCTCACTGTGCACATTGTTTACGAGCAAATGTCAGCTCAGTTCAAAACGACCAGTTATCAGCATTTCTGCCTGCAAGGCCGCCGTGCTTTGTATGTTGGCAGCTGGATAATAGTGTTGAGTGATAACCTGGTAATAACTTTGATGTTAGTCTAAATTCTTTGGAATTTCATCAATGCCAGAAGTTTGCAGGCTGACTTCTAAAGCATTAAAACAGCAGTAAAATTTTCAGCTTATAGGCTGCTTTGAAAAAAAAATCCAATCTCCTCTTCTGCAGTGCTACAGCATCAGTCTTTCATTTACATTCAACCTAGAAAACTTGTTTATCTCTTTCGTTTGTTATTATTTGCTCGTTTGCCTCCCTGGCAGGATGCATGTGCCTCTTTTCCTATGTTTTCTGATTCACAGTCATTTTGCAGACTGCCTCCCCATGTCTTACAAACTGTCAGTGGACCCGCAGACTTGAGCTAGAAAGCATTATTCCAGAAGGCAAAGAAATCCATGCAGTGAAATAATCCAGAGCAGCCATCCACATCACTGCATTATCTCTATTATTCCCTGGAGTGTGGTAACAGTGTTAGTAGAATTGCAAAGCTCTATGTGTAGGAGCCTGCTTAGGCTTTATTGCAATTACAGTCTCCACTGGGTGATTGGACTGTTCCCATTTCTTTAATAGAAACAAACAGACAAAACCAAACAAGAAACACCTACCCCATCAGTGACAGCTGTGTTAATTTGGGTTATCATCATTATCCTGATAACTTTTCTGATGCCATTAAGCAGCATGGTGGGAATATCCAGCAACACCTCAGAGAAGGAAACTCTCTGAAACTGAAGAGTTAACTGGAAGATACCTTGAAGATGGTGAATTCCTTGGGTACCCAAATCACCACCCAGCTGCTACTCAGAGATAAAATGAGGCTCACGACACACATCTAATGGGGCTCCATCACAAGCTGATAGACACAGGCATTTAAAAGTGGCAGGAAAGGTAAACGTGGCCAGAGTTAGTGGCAGATAAAACGCAGGCAGTTAGCTGGTCAGGTCACTCTCCCCTTCGTGTTCCTGCCTGAATCACCAATAATCTGCACTCTGAGGTGATTTAGAGGCTTAGACTCTGGGGTGGATAAATGTAACGCTGTTATTATCAATAACCTCTGGGTTCACTTCAGCATCGTTGCAATTCTGTTACCATCCCCTTTGGCCTCTTTGCAAATGCCTGCTGATACCTGATAGCAGCACACCACACAGCGTTCAGACTGCAAGATGCTGCATCCAAGTGTTGGTATATGGAATCTTCTGAGACACTGAAAGCTCAAAGTCTGGTACTTGTTGCTGAGAAAAATCTGTAAATGTCTCTGGCAAGGCTGGGAGAATTTACATCCTACTGGAACACGTGTTCCTTTTCCAAAAGTCCTCCAGAGTAGCAGAACTGTTGAAAACCAGGCGAGTCCTCCTGTGGCTCAGAACATGTCTTGAAACCTTCAGCCTTCATGCTCAGAATTGCAAACCTGGCAAGCAGAAGGGAAAGGCCCTTAAAACTCAAAGCAGAGCACACAGTCACTTAAACTACCAGCATCCCTTAAGCTACCCCTGTCTGAAGTGCAGTGCTAAGTGCCACTGGGGCTGCAGCTGTGGGCTGGCCAGGTTATGGCTGAGCACAGCATCCCAGGTAAATGGAAGTGGGATAGAGAGGCACCGGCCCAAGGGCTGTTTTGCACATAGGAGCTCCTTCCCCCACCCGGGAGCCTCCTCTGTGTCTGTCACAGCAGAATCATGGAAGGGCAGCAGGGTGCTGGAAGCCAGGAGATGAAATGCCCCTGGCCAACAGTGTCCCTCTGTTGCTTGTATTTAAAATGTGATGGAGCAATTGAATTTGTGACCTCAACTTGCCTGACCCTTCTTCTGCTTTCTCCTTGTGTAGGTAGGGAACCTTGGCCTACTTTTTATGCTCCTGTTTTTTATCTATGCTGCCCTGGGAGTGGAATTGTTTGGCAAGCTAGGTGAGTAATGTGCCTGCCACAATTTATTTCATCCGGTTGATATTTATTTGATACCTAGCTGCTTCCTTTCTTCCCCTTATTCTTGGGTCTTCACAGCTCTCGGTCTGAAGATTAAAGCTTTCTCTTGATCCCAGGGTCACGGGTGACACATGAGGATGTAATACAGAACCTGTCCAATGCACACACACACATTAGAGGTTTGTCCCACACCACCCTTGGCTGTAGAGGAGCCATTTAGTGTTTAAATATAACTGTCTAGTGTGGATGTGTTCACAAAGATGGAAGTTTGCTACTTCAGACAGCACACGAGTCTGCTGAGCTGGATGGCAGTCAGATTCGTGTTGGAGCAGTGCCACCATAAACACGTCCCTCCTTGCAGCTTCCACCACACTCCATTAGTTTTGTGCACTTGGCTGACATTGCTCTTCCAGCTGTCCAAGTTTGTCCATCCATTGTTCTTCTCAGCATCACTTTCCTCTCTCTGCATAAATCAGGAAGCATCCACTGGTTCCTGCAGGTCCAGCATCGTTTCTTCCTCCAGCTCAAGGTGCACGTGTCCACCTCTCCAAAGTCAGGCAGAGGCAGAGGAAGAGCATAAACCTGGCTGAGCTGGGCAAGCAGGGCAAGGCAGTGAGTGCCTGTAAACGTGTAGTGCAAAGCAGACGTGTCTGCCCTCCCAATGCTTACATCCCAGATAGCATCAGAAGGGCCCATCCTCCGTGGTGATTTTATAGCTGTCATTAATCCCCTTTATGAGTTCAGCCCTGTGCTCAGATTACAGATGCCTGAAAGCAGAATATTTCTTTCAACCCAAGACAAATTATTTTTCAGTCTCCACAGGTTCTGTGTCCACCTCAAATGAAATACTGTGCGTTTTATATTACTTGTCTGGATATATGGATATGTATTTATTTAGCCACAAAGGGGAAAAGAGTCTTATTTGCAGAGGCACCTTCTGCCGTGCTGAATCCTTTCTGTGTTTCCAGGCACAGCCTTGCCAGCCCCCAGGTAGCCTGGCACATGGCAGGGACAAGGCAAGCCCTGAAATGCCTAATGGCAAAACTCCCATGCAAGAACCATTGCTGCCTTTCATCAGGAAAGCATAATGAGCTCATGTTTTATGGAAAGAGGGATATTTTGTGGGTTCAATTTGCATTCATTAGTATATTATCTCTCAGGGAAAAAGAAAGGGGAAAAAAAAAAGTAAAATTAGTTGATTTTATTGCATAGAAATAAACCTTACCATAGGTAGGCCCTGGAAAAATTATCAAGGTGGGAAATGTAATCAAGAGAATAACAGACAAAGCACACTGTGAGGAGCAGTCTGTTGAGACGCCCCAGCAAAAGGGGCACAGGGGCAGCCCTGAATGAGCATTGGCAAACAGCCCTTCACTGATGTGCTCCCACCTCATCCTCCTGCAGACTGCAGTGAAGAGAATCCTTGTGAAGGGCTGAGCCGGCACGCGACGTTCACCAACTTTGGGATGGCCTTCCTCACCCTCTTCAGGGTGTCCACGGGGGACAACTGGAACGGTATCATGAAGGTGTGTGCAATCTCTCTTCCTTCTTTGTAGATGCGGAGCTGCAGTTTTCTGGTAAATGTAGGCACCTCTTGTCTGAAAACAAAAGCAGTTTCCTTAAAAGTCAAGTGTGTTTTCAAAGCATAATATTACCCACGTCTTGCTCAGCCCCAAATTTCATATTTTTAACATATGGAGTATTCTTTAGGAAAATTGAATCGTAGAATGGCCGGGGTTGAAAAGGAGCACAATGCTCATCCAGTTCCAACCCCCCTGCTATGTGCAGGGTCACCAACCACCAGACCAGGCTGCCCAGAGCCACATCCAGCCTGGCCTTGAATGCCTGCAGGGATGGGGCATCCACAACCAAATTGTGCCAGTTGTTGTGGCTCAGAGAAGTAACCACAGACTCCATGTCCTGATCTCTTGGAACATAACACCATCCTCCTCTTTGTAGATGAAGTTCATATTTTCTTCCATTTGTTTGGATTGTACCACAAGCCTTTGTGCCTGGGATATGTTACAGTATATGCAGGTTGAAAATTACCTTTGATAATTTTTGAAATTAAACTATTCTCTCTGTAATTTGGAGCCTCAGAGTTTATGAATCCCTCCCCTGTTCCCTCTGTTGCAGGACACTCTCCGGGAATGCACCCGGGAAGACAAGCACTGCCTCAGCTACCTGCCTGTTATCTCTCCTGTCTACTTTGTCACCTTTGTCCTCATCGCACAGTTCGTCCTGGTCAACGTGGTGGTGGCTGTGCTGATGAAGCACTTGGAGGAGAGCAACAAGGAGGCCAAGGAGGATGCTGAGATGGATGCTGAGATCGAGCTGGAGATGTCCCGAGGAGCGAGCACGTCAGCCACCAGTGGCAGCAGGGGAGGTGCAGCGGCCCTGGAGAGCAGAGCACCCTGCAGAGGCCAGGAGGCCAGGAAGGCAGAGCCAGCAGTGCAGGCGAAGCACCAAGCCCTGGTAATGGTTTGCTTGAGGTGTCTGCTCTTCTTGTGCTCGGGGTAGGGAGGGAATGGTTCCTGCCAGTCCCTGCTGCCTGCTATTGGGCAGACTGGTCCCAGTGATGCAGAGCCCAGGCAGCATGGGAGGAAGGCAGCTTGCCTTATGGCAGAGGTGGAGTCTGCATCCCACACCTCGAGCCATCTCAGGAGGTTTCCCCGAGGTGGAAGGCAACTTGTGATGTTCTCCAAGGCTAACACTGTCCTGGATGTTGTTCTAAGGGAGAGTTGAAAGTCATAGGTCGTGATTTTTTAGTTTAGAAGCACAATGCCCCCCGTCCCTGTCCTGTTCCTCCAGGTCCTTGTTGTTTCAGCTCAAGCAGCAGCACCAAGGAGCAATCTCATAAAGTCCTGGTGCTCTGGCCCTGACACATGTGAGGGTGTAAATTCCCTTCACACAGACACAGAAATCCTACTCAGGTTCTTTTTAGTGCCATTCTGGGATTTCCAGAGAAGCCTCAAGCAAGTTGAAGCTCTTGCTCTGCCTAAGGCACGGCCAGCTTGGACCCTGGGCGCTATCATATCCCCACCAAGAAGCTGAAGCTTTGGGGCTGATCTCCCAGATACTGTCTGCCCCCCAATTCTAGTTCTCTGGAAAAATGAGGCAATCAGAAGTCAGGAGAAATAAAGGAGGGGCTGTGAGATGATTGTCTCATCCAATGTCAGCAGCGTATGATTAAGAGTGAAAACAGAATTGCTTTGTCACTGTGATCACAAATAAATCTACTGCAAAATCAATGGGGGATGTGAGATTAAATTACATTAAATTAGATTTTTGTAAAATCCATCAGACTCTATTAAGTCGAGTAAGAAGGAATTTAGTTACATAGCAATGGGGAATTCACTACATAAATGTAGTTGCTAATAGAGATTCCTGCAGGAAAACGCACAACCAACACCCGGTTGCCTTTCTCAGCAGGGAAAGGCAGTGCACATCCCTTCACGCAGGCTCACAGGGAGGTGTCAAAAGGTGCCCTGCCATGTCTCGCCACCTTTGCAGCCCACATTTCCTTTTCTCTTCCTTCCTGCTCTGAGCAAGTAGGGCAAACACCATGGGGCAGACGTGTTGGAGCACTGGGACGGCCTTGCTCTGCTACTGATGCTTTTTATCTCCTTAATTTGAAGGAGGTGCTGAGCTGTGAGCACGTGTCTGTAGCCATCCCAGACATGCTGGAGGGGGCTGAGACTCCCATGATGGAAATCCCGTCCTCCTGCTCTGTTTCCCACCATGTCCTGACACCTTCCCACCAGCCCCGAGGCCGCGAGGCTGAGGTGAATGGCTCCGTGCTGTTGTTCTGCGTTGTGGCATTGTGTTTTGGTGCTGTGCAGCTGGCAGGGCTGTCTGAGTTGTCCCCCACCTGTTGCTTGGTGGTTGCAGCGCTCATCCCATCCTCGATCCTTCTTAGTTCTGCCTTTGCATATGCAGGAGAGCTGGGTAGGGAGATGGGGGTCAGCCTCTCCTTCCAGTAGCTAGCAATAGGATGAGAGGTAATGGCCAGGGAAGGTTTAGGTTGGATATTAGGAACAATTTCTTTTCCAAAACAGTGGTGATGCAGTGGCACTGCTGGGCGGCGAGTGGTGGGGGTCACTGTGCCTGGAGGTGATCTAAAACCATGGAGATGTGGCACTGAGGGAGGGGTCAGTGGGCACGGTGGGGATCTGGGAGGTCTTTTCCAACCTCAGTGATTTTATGATTCTGTGTGCTGTGCTATGTGATGTGTCAGCTGTCTGTCTTCAAGCAGTGCATTGAGAGCTGGAAGCTGGCAGTCTTTTCTTGCTTTGCGGAGAGAACATGGACCAGTTTGGTTATCTTACTGTATCTGTAAGACTTTGTTTCTGGTATAGTATTGATGAACCATCAAGGCATGAGCAGATCAGCATGTTAACCTGTGAGGCTTTCAGCAAGCACCAGAGCTGTGGTGTCAGGAGATGCTCTGGGGAGGTCACTGTTCCCCAGTACAGCTGTAGCCTCACAGACTGGCGCCCAGCTCCCATCACGTAAGGATTCTGCATGGATGTGCCATGCTGCAGGCCTGTGCACCAGGACATGCAGTCAGCCTTGGGTGTCCAAGGGGAGCTGAGGCAGCCATGGTGAGGGCTGAGTTTTGAGCTGTGTGCTGACAGCAGGCGGCTTCCTGCACTCTTGGCTTTCAGGCGTCTTCCTTCAATGCTGGGGTTGACTTTGGCTTGGCAATGGGTGAGCAGATCATGTTAGGAGACTCAGAGCAGAGTGGTCTGTACTATCAGCCTCAGACAGCCAGAGGAGCCTCATTAGACACAGGGAAGCAGAGGACCAGCTACCCCACTTCTGCCTGTGCCATCCCATTTGAAAGACAGCACAGCATGCCATGCTGCTGCATATCATCTGCGCTGGCACTCTGTCACTGCTGAGCAGCAAGACAGAGCAGGCTACTGGACATCTCTCTGCCTCCTCCCTCACTCATCCTGCATCCTAGATATTCTAAATCAATGGGCTGCAGTCATTTAGCACAAATGGGCCTGGAAGAAGAGATGCAGTGTAGCACTTTGCCGTGGATCTGTGCACGCAGCAGTGGGGAGCACATCCACTGCCATCAGAAAATTTGCAGTGATCACCCAGAATGAATTTGCTTCAGGCTTGGCCCATTTTCCTCTTTCATGTGACTGTCAAAGCACCGCCTAGTGGCAAGCATCTCACAGCATTCCCAGACAATTTCTGGGTTCACAGTAAGTTCTTGAAGACCACCAAGCTGGTTATCCCTGCTCAAGACAGGCAGTGAGTGATAGGAAGGAATAATCCTCAAAGAAGTCCCTTTCATGGAGCCACCTGAAAGCTGTGGGACCCCAAAGGAGGATCATTATGAAGGCATCTCCTAGGGACAGGTGATAAGTTTGACTTTGTAAATGCAGCTGCATGGGGCTGTGGCTTTCTGCTGGCAGAGGTGAGAGTTTGTTACTGTGCTGACAGCACAGCCCAGGTGCTGCCAGAGTCATCCCATGCAAGGGCCCAACAGCTGGAGCAGTGCTGGAGATGCACAGCCCTGGGATCAGGAATTCCCTTCCTCTGGGAATTTTGCCCACAGCTTGCAGGCTGCAAGCCTCTGAGGATTGATGGTGTTCCCCAGTGCAGAGCATCCCACTGGTTGCCGTTGCTTCCAGAGGACCTTCTGGGCGTTCCATCACTCAGCAAAGGTCATGTCCTGCAGAGAGATTAGCAGGATTGTTTTTCCTTGAGTTCCCTTTGCACCAGAGCAAAATCAGAGCTCCAATAGCATTCTGATCTCCGGACAAAGGAGGAGGGAGCAGTGCTCACTGACTAAAAATGCTTAACACCAAGAACACCAAGCTGCATCCCCAAGACTCTCCTGGGTCCATTTATTGCATTTCTGCTGGTTTGAGGGGGGTCTCACAGTGAGTGGGCTCCTGTCTTGCACCTCTCCATCATGTTTGGGGTCCTCCCTCACTGCTTCTTTGGCTGGGAAGGAGCTATGCTGATGGCTATGGATGCAGCTCCCAAGCACAGCAGGCATTTCCCAGCAAGGAGGAGGAGCAGTGGTGGTGGGGCAGCTCCAGACCTTTCCAGCTGTTAAGAGCAGCTCACCAGGTGTGAGCCAACAAACTCTCTGCACACGTTTAATAGTTACAGGACTTCTGACAGTGGCTCAGAGCCACTTGGAATTTACCCAAATCCCTCAATTGGGTCTCAATAGATGAAAACTTAAAAACTGCAGTTGTTTCTGTCAGAGGGGATGTCTGTCCATTTCTCCCAGCCAGAGAAGATGGATAGGTGAGATCCCTTAGAGATGAACTGAGATTTTCTAGAGAAATGCCTCAATCCTTCTGCTGCAGTAAGACAATGGGACGAGGACTTTTCTTCTCCATGCAGCACCAGGATCTCGATGGCCACCATTCAGCCCCTGTTGTGATGCCAGAGCTCATTAGCTGGGAGCTCATTAGCTGTGATGGCCAAGGGCCAGCTGGCACAGCCACCACACCGTGCTCTAACAGAGCCTAGAGGGATGCTCCAGATGCCCACCACCTGTAATAGCCACTGTTAAACCCCCAGCTCCTCAACCAACTTCGGGAGGGCAAAAGCATGGAGTAATTTGTCTCAGAATGCGTCTCTTTTGGGATCTGAGGACAGAAATTCATGAGGAATGTATGGAAAATAAAACAGATTTTACCAGATCTGTGGTGAACTCCAAATTATCCAGTGGGGGATCTCAGGCACAGGTTTTGCTTGCACAGAGGGAAAACGGCCCAGAGGAGCAAAGCAAAATACATTTAATTTAAGACATGCAGCTGGGAAAATGTTTTCAATCAGTCACCGGGAGACTGACATTAAAGGAAAACCAGAGGGATTTGCTGTACTTTAGATAACGGGGTGAATTGAGAGGGGGATGTTGAGGAGCCCTGCTTGAGGCCAGACACAGAAATGCCTTTTCTTCCCTGAATCCAGCTCTGCACTCACATGTGATGCCCTGAATGCCCTGCAGCTGCCTCCTCTGGGGTCAGCAGTGCCCAAATGTCACAGGGGAAAGGCCGCAGGGTTTGTAGTGATGTTACTGTGGGTGTACGTTTCAATGTCTGCCTCTGTCTGTGTGTGTTTGAGAAGATCATGTATGGATTTCCAGAAGCACGTGGGGCCTGGCCCGCTCTGCCAGCAGAGCAGTGACTCGTTGGTGCTTTGTTTCATTCGAGCCAGAGTCTGAACTCTGTACTCAGCTGTGCTGCCATTGCAGTCACCAGGGCTGCAGGCTCTCTATGAGATGCCAAGAGAAACATCTGCACAAGGTTTTAAAGCAAAAAGAAGCCATAAACCCACTCAGATGCTGACAGACCCCTCTCTCTCTCTTGCTTTGCAGGGAGGCATGGCCAGCCCACAGCCTCAGGACTCCCAGAACCTGCTGACGGTCCGCAAGATCTCCGTTTCCCGCATGCACTCCTTGCCCAACGACAGCTACATGTTCCGGCCTGTGATGCCAGCCAAAGCTCCCTTTCCCCTCCACGAGGTGGAGATGGAGACGTATCCCTGCAAGTCACAGCGAGGTACCATCCGCGCGGCTCCAGCCAAAGCCGTGGGGCACACAGGTGGTGGTTGCATGGGGAAGATGCCCCCAGAGCTGCGTATGGGTTGGGCGTTGCTTTGGTTGTTCCTGACACCACTGCAGGACTGCAGCTTTGTGTTGTTGTCACATCCCCGTGTGGGGACATCTGGGGAGAATTGGGGCTGCCAGGCAATGGAAGAGGCGTGGAGGACAGGCTGCTAGCTGAGGAAAAGGATATTAACTGCACATTTCATCTCGAGTGATCAGCTCTGACATCAGGGATACGAATCAATAAAATCAGCAGGAATGAAAGCCAGTGTCGACAGTGCTTCCTGAAGAGCTCCTCACAGCTCTTGTTTCAGTCTCAGAGCAGCTCCTTTTAGCACGGTACATTGAGTTCATAGATGGAGGAGTTTCTTTGGGAGCATAAAGGTTAGAAAGCACCCCCCGGTGCCTCCACAGCCTTACAGTGAATCTTGTGCAGAGGCCCTGCAGCCAGGGAATCACAAGCTACACAGAGCCTGGAAGCATACATTTACCAAACTGCATCCAAATACATTTCCCCATCCTGTCTCCTTTGTTGGCGAGTTGGTTTGAAGGGGAAATCAATAAGGAAGAAACTATCTGCCTCCCCAAAAGCACATGTGGCACTCACCAGCCTGGTTTCCTTTAGTGCAACATTTGGAAATGCACGTGCTGCTTGGACAGAAGAGCAGTGGGTTTACAGACCCTGATGGGACTGGCAAGGTCTGCTCTGATTTCCTGGGGTGAAGTAACTCTGTTTGCTCAAGCAGTCTGGATACCAGTTAATGTTCTCTGCTCAGTATGTATTATTATTATTTCACCTGCAAATTCTTCTCTGTGCAAAGAAAACAAGATTGAGTTTCATGGCTGGACGGCTGGGGATGCTTTTCATCTCTGTGGTGGGTGTAAATCAGGATTTATGCCATTATAGGACTGCTGTGATGTGGGCAGGGGTGGGTAGAGCTGACCAAGGACACTTCATCTTTCCCCAGTTTCTCTCCAGGAACTCTCAAACGATGCCTGTGATGGGAGCTTATTTTCTCTCTTCCTTAAGTCATAGTCCTGTAAGATAGATGAATTGTAAAACTGAGCACACACAGATTCCCATTTGCATTTATTTTTTCATGGGCTTTTCACTGTTAGTTAAGGATGGCTGCTGTTCTGGCCATATCTTAGTGCCAACACACTGAACATGCTGTGAGATGAGCAGGTCTTGGGTTCTTGTGGTCATAAAGCAGTTTGCTGATTTATTGGAAGAACAGGAGAAAAGTGTACAAATCCAGAAGCATTTGGATTCCTTCAATGCTCCCAACTGTGCTATTTAGAGGGGTTTTTTTTGTTTGTTTTCTATATAAGAGCTAGATGGAAAGTTTCCAACAGAAGGAAATTCCAACGAAGGACAGGAAAGAAAGTGTAGGGTTTTGATTTTATGACTGTATTTGTAAAAGATTTTATGACAACATTTTTCTGCATCATAAAAAACATTTTGTGAAGCCTGAGTTAGTGCATGAATAGCACAGCTCAAGAGTGAAACTCTGCCCATAGGACAGCCCAAAAACAAGAGAGGGAGAAGTGGGGCGGGTTGGGGGGTGGGAAGCCCACTGCTCTGCTGCTTCCATGCTGTTCTGGAGAAAAGCTCCAAAAGAAAAGTGATCAAACGATATGTTTTCTTTCTTCCCAACAACAGATCTCTTTCTGAAATGCAACTGCAAACTGTCTGGATGGCTTTTGTCATAGGTTCAAGTTCCCTGACCTCTGGGCGAGATCTCTTGAAGTGATGGATAGCTGTGTTTTTAACATGGAGCGGCAGTGTAGGAACAGATGCTGGGTTTCAGGCTAATGAGGACTATAAATCCTGCAGCCAAAAAAATAAAAAATAAAAAACCAAAGATCTTTCAAACAAAGTAGAACCGCAGTGAAGCAGCACTATGAAGGGGATGGGGAGGTGGGATTGCTTTTAGGTGCAGCCAGGGAGTTGGGAGCCTGGTATTGAGCTCAGGGAGCAGCCTCTGTGCCATGAATGGGAGCCAGCCATGTTCTGCCTCGTGTCAGGCAGTGATGGCACTGTATGAGTGGTAGCGAATGGGAATTCTGTCCTGTGCATGTCAGTATTGTCCCCTCCTGGGAAAGCCAGGGCAGGGTGTTGCAAGAGAAGGTTTGTGTTACCTGAAATAGAAAACAGAAGCTATGAGCATCAAGTTTATCATGGGCAATATCCTGGAGGGGGCGGAGCCACGTGTAACGCAGATGCTGCAGCATTTACACTGGAGCCTACAGGCGCCACAGCAGCAGCAGTGACTGTCCCCTCTCTGTATCCCAGGGTCCATCACCTCCATCCGCTCGCAGCCCGTGGGGACGTGCTCCTCCTTGAGGGTCCCCCCCGAGTCCCTCCATGTGGCTGTGCGCTCCCCTGGCCGTGAGGGCTGGCACCGCTGGAAGGTCCTTCCCCCGCACGTCGTCCCTCGGTCTCCTACTCTCAGCAAGCTGCTGTGCCGGCAGGTAAGAGGCCAAAAGCCTAGAGAGGCAAACCCCTGTAGTCACCTTGCTGTTCCTCTTCCAGTTTTCTTGGAGCTGAGAGCAGCATTCATCTTGTTAGAACAAAATGTTTCTGGTTCTGTTGACATAAAATCACAGAACCATGGAATAATTGGGTTGGAATGGACCTTAACACCCATCTAGCTCCATCTCCTGCCATGGGCTGGTTGCACAGTGTTCTCTTGTACAGCCATGGTCTGATGGGAGCTGGCACAACAGCACAGTGAGGGATGCGTACACCCACCAACTTCTCTGCCACATGCAGTGCCACCCGGCAGACCCCCAGGCTCTTCTCATCTCCATCTGTCCTCCCCTTCCAGTGTAGGTTCAGGTTTACTATTAGAAACAACAGCTTCTCTGAAAGAGCGGTGATGCTTCAGCACAGGCTGCCCAGGGAGGTGGTGCAGTCACTGTTCCTGGAGGTGTTAAAGAACTACAGTAATGTGGCACCAAGGGACGTGATTTGCTGTCATGCTGGGGATGGGTTGGGGTTGAACTTGGTGATGTTAGAGATTTTTCTCAGCCTTCATGATTCTCTGATTCCAGGAGGCCGTTCGGACAGACTCGGTGGACGGACACCCTCCAGACCCCAAGGACAACGTGCAAGCAGAGCATGGAGAGATGCCACCATCACCAAAGCACCCTCAGCACACCCTCACCCCCAGCCCTCTCCACCCTGCAGCCTCCTCCCTGCCGTGCTCCCCTCCACGCTCCCCACCAACCTCCCCACACCGGCACCCATCGCTGACTCGGAAACACTCCTGCAGCCAGCACGGGGTCCCCAGTCCCACCGAGAGTCCCCCAAGCCCCCAGGGCTGCCTCCTGGAGCCCTCTGACCTGGCTGACGAGGAGGTTCGCCACATCAACAGCTCAGCCAAAGACTGGGGGGAGCACTCGGAGGCTGGGAGCTGCTCCACGTCACCGTTCGTCTCGCCGGCCGCATCGCCTGTGCCCTTGAAGAATTGCAGCACAAGCAGCCTGGCAGCAGGCAGCAGCAAGGAGAGGGACTTGAAGAAGTTTTACAGCATCGATACGAAGGGCTTCCTCACCAAGCCCAGCTGGGCGGATGACCAAAGGCGGCACTCCATCGAGATCTGCCCCTCCGTCCGCGATGGGGACTGCGGCTTCGAGGAGCGCGCTGAGGAAAAGCCGCGCTCCCCCGCCCACATCCAACCAGAGTCTGAGTACATCCATGGAGTCCGGAGGAAGAAGAAGATGAGCCCGCCCTGCATTTCTATAGATCCTCCTATGGAGGATGACGGCGGGGCGGCCTCGCGCACCAAACCCTCCGAGAACAGCATGCTGCGCCGCAGGACCCCGTCCTGCGAGTTCCCGGCGTACCGAGAGCCCCTGGAGCCGGCGGAGGCGCAGCCGGGGGAGCCGGGCTGCAAAGCAGAGCGCCGTGCCCAGCACCTCGCCATCCCCGGCTTCTCCTTCGAGCAGTCGGATGGCGGCGGCTCCCTGAGCAGCCTCTCGGATCTGCTGGACAGTGGGCGATCCACGCCGGACTGTGAACTGAGAAAGCCGGAGCCCTTAAAAACTCAACGGAGCAACGCCGAAAAAAGCAAAGAGCTGCTCAGCGTGGCCAAGAGCCCCGTCCGGATGCAGGACTTGGTGACTGTTGCGACAGAAGAAGACATCGACGAGCCCGTATAGCTGTCTGGGATGGGGGTGTGGGGGGTCTCAAGGGCTTGACACCGACGTGGGGTTGGACACAGAAGGGAATGCGCGGCCACGTGGCCACGCTCTGGTTTTTCCCTTTCTTGCAGTCCCTTCTTCTTAAGCGCTGTGGAGGTTTGCAAAAAAAAAAGAAAACATTAAAAAAAAATTATTATTATTTAAGAAGAAACCAAACAAAACGGATGAAACGGTGCCGGGTTTCGGGGCGGGGGTTCAGAGGGGGCTTTTCTAAAGGGCAAAGTGGAGGCGGTGGGGGGCAGCTCTCAGCCCTCTGCGCCCTCGGTCACATTGATCCGGGTGGTGGCGGATGGGGGCTGAGGGTTCTCTTTGTCGTTTTGTTGTGGGGGTTTTTTTTGTTCTTGTTTTTTTTTGTTTTGTTCTGTTTTTAAAAAGATGCTCAACTTTTTAAAAGGCACTTTTAGAGATGTCACACGCCGTGAGAGCGCCCCGGAGATGGGAGCTGTACGTTGTCTGTATATCAGCAGTTATATAAATAGAAATAATGTATTTGTGAGATACAAAACAAGGAGAAAAAAAAAAAAAAAAGACAAAAAAAAAAGTACCCACAAAAACTCTTCTTCTTCTTCATAATGCACATATTTTTATAGAGAAACAATACTGTTTTTTGCATTACGTGTGACTCCGCGACCGGGTGGTGTTTCCTTGGGTTTTATGTGGAACTGATTATTACAGCCGTTCGTTTTCCAAATGTTTCTGCTCCTCCTTTGCTCTCCTTCCCCTTTGTTCCCCCCCACCATCAGCCCACAGCTCCTCCTTTCGCCACCCCTTTCATTTTTCTTTTGTACTTTAGAGGTTGTGTCCTACCAATGGAAAGAAACCAAATCACTACTGAATTGTAGCCAGTGCAATAATAAGTTATTCATTCTTCTCGTCTGTACAATGGTCCTTTCGCTTGTTTTATTTTTTTTTTTTCTTCCTTCTTTCAACAGATATTCAGGTTAAACGCTGCAATAATCCGAAGTACCGTGCACAAACAAGGTGTCCTGCATTACACACTAAAAAAAAGCAAAAGTTAAATTTGAAGAGATTTAAAAAAAAAAAAAAAAAAAAAAAAAGACAAAAATAAATAGTAAATTATTTAAGAAATGTATTTTGTTTCCTGCAGTTCAAAGTAAGTTATTGGTACAGGATGTCGAGGCGCAAAGAGCTGTTGGTGATGGTCCACGTGAGCAGGTCGGGATCTGTTCTCCTCCTGGCAGAACGCTGTGAGGTCACAGTGATGGCCGTAACCCCTTCCATTCATAGAGTGGTAATCAGCACCAGTGAGGCTGGGAAAGGCCTCTCAGATCCCCAACCCCACCCCATCCCACCATGACACCAAACCACGTCCCTCACTGCCACACGGCCGCGGTTCTGAACACCTCCAGGGCTGCTGACCCATCCCTGGGCAGCGCTGCCTGCATCGCCGCTATTTCAGAGGAGGAGTTGTTCCTAATATCCAACCTGAACCCACACCCACGTGGACGTGGTTCCTCTGCCACACTCCAAAGCCTCTCGAGTTCAAGTCAACACCATTTTAATGTTTTTTAATATACACATACTTAGTTTTGGGGTTGATTTTCCGTTCTTAGCCTCCATTCCCTGCCTCTTCCCTGCTCCTCAGCCAGGCCCTCTGCTCAGGACAGCTTCACCACAGGGCACTGACATCGTGTGTCAGTCTGCCCCAGCACTGCGCATCAGCAGCAAAAAGACACGGGGGAAAAAAACCAACCAACCAACCAACAGAAAGAATTAAAGCAACCGTTTTCGTTTGGTTCATTCCATGCCGCCTCATATTTATGCATCCACATATATCTTCTGTTATTTATGCATTCATTACTCAAAAGGAAATGTATCTTGTTTCACATGTATTAAACTGTATAAACTGGAAGCCTGGCCTGACTTTGTGAGCAGCCCGGGGCCCCGCGTGGCTCTGTGCAATCAGCAGCCAGGGGGGATTATTGCAGTTATTCCTTCCTGTTGGTTTAATGGGGGATTCTGGAAAAGCACCACAAAGGTAATTGCTAACAGCACTTCGGGGGGCAGTGGTTGTGTCCTTTTGAGGAGAGGAGGGGATGTGGACTGAGCCCTGAGCTGAGCACAGCGATGCTGTATGTCCTGCAGTGCTGCTGTCACTCTCCAAAGCCCCGGGGGGGACCCAGGCTGATGGGAGCCTGGCAATGGATGGAGGTCTGTCCCACAAAGTGCTGCTCTGCTCTGTGATTTCCAATTGAGACTCTGCAGTGGGCAGTGAGCTGCATACAAACCCATCTCCAACAGAGAGCAGCCATCTGCTGCCTGCTGCTGCTGACCAGGGGGTTCCTGCTGAGGAATAAAAGCCAGTTTGAGTCTGGAACCTCTGCTGGTGAAGGGGTTTTGGCCAACATGTGCTTTCTGAAGCTATTAATAACAACGAGGCCAAATCAGCAGCAGGGTGAAGCTCCGGGCTTGCTCTATGGCTCTCCCTGTCCATGTGGGCAGCCTGGAAGTGTTGGTGTTGGGATGATCTGGGAATCACCTGTGTGCTGAGTGCAGCTCCTCCGCCCCGCGCTCAGGGATGCTGCATCCCCAGCGTCCCCCCGGCCAGTGCTACAATGGGAACTTGCCCCATGTCTTCCTGGCTCTCCTTTTCTCCAGGGGATGAAATATCTGGAAGGACGCAGTTGTGAGTATGGGAACAACTCGCCTCGGCGTGCTGCAATGGCTGGGAGCTGAGCAGGCACAGAGGCAGCCAGCAGGAGGGGTTTGCTGGAACCCCACCGGAGCAACCCCGTGCTGAAGCACCCCACTGGTGGCTCTGGCCAACCACAGACCTCATTTCTGGCTGTGGGAAGACACCAAGCATTCGATTCCCCTCTTGAGTGCATGGATGAACTCAGCATCCTGCAGGATGGCATGAGGAGAGTGCTTGGAGCAGGGGCAGCACCAGAACTGCAGCAGTTCCTATGGGGGGAAAAAGACATCCCCGAGATGTGGCCATATCCAACAGGGCAGAACTGAGTGTTCCTCTTCCTGCTCACTGAACCTCTACAGTACTGAGCCATTTCCACCAGGCTGCCTGCAAGGGTGGTGTTGCTGAAGATAGGAAGTGAAAAGCACCGGATGAATGTGAATTGCTACTATTTAAATGGATCGATTGCTCTTTTGCATTTTTAATCACCATTTGGCCAAAGTGCAGCCTGCAGAGACCTCGGGGAGGGGAGCAAGCGAGGACGTTGAGGCTGAATCTCAGATGGCATCGACCTGAAACAGCCAAGCTGAGGAGAGAATAAAAGCAGGAGAGCAGCACAGATACGAACCCACCCCCATGCAATTACAGACAGCCCTTAATCAATCAGTGCTGCGAGATCACGCGGGTGGCACTGATACTAATAACTATTTGGTGTTTGTACAATCCTTCTTAGGTTGAATAATCAAATTGACTTTATCCATTAAACCTTTGCAATTAAACTTTAAATCCAGGGCTGTTTTAATGGCTGGGGCCATCGCTTCTTCTTGGCAGGGTCTTCATTAGGAATTTTGTTGCATCCCACCAGACCGAAGCTTTTCCCACTCCCATCCCCAGAGCTGCTCACTCCTCCTGTCCCTCCAGCCCTGACCAAACCCAGAACGCAGCTCCTCAGTCCTCCTCCTCGCCCTCTCCCCACTCCTGCTGGCATACTAATTTATTCCATGGCTCAGATGGAGGCCTTAATTAATTTTCATCATTAATCAAAAAAGAAAAAAAAAAGTCTCACAAATGGAAACGCGTTCCAACACACATTAATTCTGAATAGAAAACCGTGCATCTCACAGCAATGCTGTGCTGTCAGAGCCGGACCCCAACCCCATCAATTACCCACCATAAGGAGGGGTGGGCACGGAACACCAAAGGCTGACATTTCTGCTTTGGCTTTCTGCTGCTCTTTTCTGCTCCGGGGGGACATCGGTAACCATCCCTGCAGCTCCGAGCTGCAGCCCAGGTAGCCGGCAGCCAAGACAAACAGCCACAAAAGGAGCGTTAATTCAATGGCTTCGCTTGCAGCAATGGCTGGCCGGTCGGGAGCGGTTTTATTTTCCCCCCTGACAATTTTCGGATGAAATATACGATTTTCTCTGAAACCTTCCTGAGGGCAGGAGGGAAAGGACAGCACTGCGGCCATCCTCTCCCGTCCCTCCGCCTGGATCCGTTCCTGCTGCCCGGCTGTTGTTTGCTGGGCGTTGAAATCTCGAATACAACCTGAAAAATCTGACTGAATGTCGTCAGAGGGAACGAATAACGATGGAAAACTACGTCAGTGGGGACAAAGCAGCTCTGTGACCCCGCGGGGTGACACCAGACCGCGCGGGAGCCCCAGAGACCCCCGACCCGAAGCGTTCCTCCCCCCGCACACCCGAGGCTCGGCTCCTTGCCCAGCAGCAGCACCTAGCGGCCGTTTCCCTGCGCCTGATGCAGCAGGAACGGCTTAGAAAGAGCCGCCCGACTTCGGGAGTTTTCCGAGACCCCGCCCCGCCGTTCCGCGGAGCGCCGCTCCCCGAGGAAGTTTGTCCCTTCCGCCGCTCCGTCCGTCCCCATGGCAACGGCACCCGGCAACATGGCGGCCGCCGGCAGCCCCAGCGTCTTCATGGTGGCCGTCAACGGGCAGATCGAGAGCGGGCAGGTGAGCGGTGAGCAGCGCGGCCCAGCCCGGCAGCTCGGCCTCGCTCGGCTCTCGGCCCCGTAACGCGGCTCCGGCTCGGCTCCGGTCCGTGACGGGCGGGCCGGGCCCGGCCCCGCTAACGCGGCCTCTCTCCTGCAGTTCCCCGGGTTTGACGACCTCTACTGCAAGTTCTGCTTCGTCTACGGCCAGGACTGGGTTCCGGCAGCGGTGAGGCCCCGTTCCGTGCCCCCGGCAGCACGCTCAGCGCAGGGCCGGGCTCACGCTGCTTTCTCCCCGCAGGGCCTGGAGGAGGGCATCTCCCAGATCACCTCCAAGAGCGACGTCGCACCCACCACCTTCGTCTGGAACTTCCCCATCGACATTACCTTCAAGAGCACCAACCCGTCTGGCTGTGGGTGCTGTGGGGTGGGAGCCAGCCTGCGTGCAAGGAGCCTCTCTCACAGCCACGTCTTTTGCAGGGCCGCAGATTGTAGTGAGCGTCTATGGACCTGATTTCTTTGGAAATGATGTGGTCAGAGGTTATGGAGCCGTGCACATTCCCTTCACGCCAGGAAGGTGAGGTGACATCCCCGCCATCTTTCAGGGCTGAAATAGAGATGAATTTCCAAGGTACTGAGTACTTTCATAGACAAAAGCATCCCTGGATCTGCTTATTATGTCTCGTTTGTTTGGCAGAAGGGACACACAGAATTTCTAGTAGTAGTCCCATGTTATCCAATAGTTTTTGGCAATTCTTTAGGATTTTGGTACTCCTTAAATTAGAACTGCCCAAAGTCAGCCCACAGATGAGGAGCAGTACGTTAGCTCTCCCCCCATTACTCTCAGCACATGCTAAGCTTTCATTCTCACCTCTGGAAACTGACTCAGTTATGCTCTTCCTATGCAAGCAAACACTTTTGGTAGAAGTATTTTTTTTCTTTGTTCAGTGCTCTGATGTGTCTGAATTGTTTTAGGCATAAAAGAACCATTGCTATGTTTGTTCCGGAGTCCACATCCAAGCTGCAAAAGTTTACAAGGTAATCATTTAAGACTGCTTATTTTTAAAGAAGTTCACGGTTTTACTCACAAGCATCTGCCCAGCTGCTCACTGATGAGTATGTGTGTATTCTTTTTATCATAACCAGACAGTTTTGAGCTTTGTAAGTAAAGTCACATTTTCAGGTGTCTGGGTTTTTTGAAGCATTTTCTTAAACTGAGTTAAATGCCTGTCTAACTTGTTGGGTTTTCATCCTCACATTTCAAAATTGTTGGTTTGAAAAAAAGGACAGCAGTCTGGTACCTGAATTCTTTTACCAATTGTGTCCAATTATTTATTTTCTGTTCTTTTCTCCAAGTTGGTTCACGGGGAGACGTCCAGAATTTACTGATCCAAAAGTGGTAGCACGGGGAGAAGGAAGAGAAGGTAATTCTGCAGGAGCTCCTGCTCTAACCCTTGCATGACAGCAGGCCACAGCTTGGCCATCTGCTTCTCCTCTTGGAAAAGCAGTCCTGCCCTGTTATTGACTTCAGCAATGACTTAAAATTTGCTCTGAACCAACACTATTCATGTCTTCTTTCTTCTAGTAACGAGGGTACGATCTCAAGGCTTTGTCACCATTTCCTTCAACGTCGTGACTAAAGATATGAAGAAGCTGGGCTATGATGTGAGCCCAAGTGACATGCAGAACCCCTCTCTGGTGCCTGCGACAGAAAGGATTCTTAAGTATTGAACTCAGAAGTGAGATGGTCAAAGGTACATGCAAAAGTTAAGCACCAGGAATTATTTGGGTTTTTTTTCCTTCAAATGGAAAATGAGTATCTGACTCAATTGAGAACATTTTACCTGGGACCTTCATTCTAAAAACAAAACACTAACCCTTAAGGCTTTGGAGTAATTATGTAGAATATTATTCTTTCAGAAAGATACAGATTGAAAAAACATATAAATTAATGCTGTCAGAGATGCTTAGCATTGTATGGGAACTGTTGATCAGGCCTGAACCTCTGATTGACCACCTGAGGCAAGCAATGAATCAGCTGTGGGAGCACAGGTGAAGGCAATTCACCTGTGCTACCAGAAGGGGTGGAGCCTGGCTCCCCCTCTAGATCCCATTTAAGTGCTGACTGCCACTGAGGAAGGATCTCTTTCTGGAGATTGTTCCTTGTGGAGTTTATTATGAGTCTACAACATGGGTGAGCATTTTTCATTTGTTCTCTTTCCACCATGGTAATTCTACTTGCCTAATCTCTGTACAGTTATTGATTGTACACCTCTGTGCACCTATGGATTGTACAAGCATTTTTATGCATAATATTGGACTATCTCAAAAGAAGACCTGCCAAGTATTTTTGTAACAGCCTTTTTTACAGTCTTTTTATATTTCAAGAATAGGAAGACTTGTGGTTGTACTGATTTTCCTTTGTTGAAAACATCAGTGCAATCCCAGTTGTTTTTACTAATAATTCTGTGGTAGAAGTGGGAAATCAATTGAAATTATAATGCCTTCCAAAAAAGAAGGCAGTATGGAAATGTTCCAGTGAGACATGTGCTTTTCTCTGTGCCACACACTTTTATCTGCAAAAGCTGCAGCAGATATCTTTATAATCCCACGTAGTACTTAGTTGGTGCAACTAAATAAAATAGTTGTGCACTATAGAAACCAATCCTTCCACATTTTTAGTGGAGCAACTGGGGTTTTTGTATTTAAGAACAAGATGATGACTCTTTCATTTCCAGATTCTATTTCTGCATTAAGCTGCAGGAGGGAAAAAAAGGACAGCTTATTTTACAAGTGTTAGAGAGATTGTGGTGTTAAATATCTGCATGCTTTTAACTTCTGATAAACAAACAGAATTTCACGTGCAGTTATTGACTAAAAGATAAACCTTAGAGAAGGATTTGAAATGAAATTACATTCTCAGCCAACCAACCATGTGCACTGTATTTAGCCCCAAGCCACACTGGTTACCAGAGGCACTGTGCTGTACATGACAGTCAGGAGTAGCAGAAAAGACCACATTTGCTTAAGATGGTCCCTCCAGGCCAGTGGATCTTGATGTTTCACACTAGCCAAGGTTCTAAGCTGCAGCTTTTTTAACAGCCTTCTGCCAACATAATCATTCAGATCACACAGTTGTGACAGTATGGATTCAGAGAAGAGAGAATAGAGTGTGAGGAAGGTGTTTGTTTACACAGTTAATGTTCATGTTTGCTGTAACTAGGCTTTCCCACTGCATAACCCAAATGAATGACCCAAACCACGTTATTTATTACTAGTGCATGCAGCAGGAATGTTAAGTCAGGGCCTGAAGCAGTGCTTGAGAAGGCAGGGCCAACCCAGGAGAGCTCAGGTGTGTGCAATGTCCCTGCGTGACCAGAAGGGATGCAGCCAGGATCCACCCCTTCCCAGACCACATTTAAGGGTTGGCAGTGGAAGCAAAGCTATCTTGCTGGAGATTGCTGTCTACCTTCCAAAGGTAAGCAGCTTTTCTTCCGTTGTTTCTGCATCCTGTGCTGCTGTATTTGGGTTTGTTCTCACTTGCTGCAGCCTAAGACTTCGCTGCTCAGCTATTATTGCTGTACTTTCCATCACATTATAGCGTTACAGTGCATGACAGAAGCTCTGAAGCTGTTCTCAAATGCCTTCAGTGTGAGGACACAAAGCTGCTCCTCAGTCTGAACAGCTTCTTTTCTGACATCTTACCACAGCCTTTCACTGAATCCTCCTATAAGCTACTGTTAATGCTCTTCCTGTGGGCTGAACAAACCCCACTGTCTATGTGTTTTGTTTCTGTCTTTCAGCTGCCTAAGATTTGTTTTTGTTTGTGCCAGCATGGATGTTTCTAAGTCCTGAATCATCCAAGGTATCAATTGTACCTATAAGAACAGTATAAAAGTATATGCTGTGGTAAAATGACTAATTGCTTAGTCATCTCCATATTTACATGTGGACATGTAACCTCATGTGTTTTGAATGCGTGTATCAGGAGGTAACTGTGAGAAGGGCTTACAGTGATACCACCCTGTAAGTGAACTACCAAGACCTTGAAACTGTGGGAATGAAGATACACAGTGTTGAGGTGCAGAGCTTCCAAAATGAATACCAAGTAAAGCAGCCAGTTAGATGTGGTTATTTCACGCTGTGCAGTGTCACCAAATAAATATAATTTCTAAAATGATAACATGAGCACTGGGATTTTATTGTGAGCATCTGCATCTTTTGTAATATTGAGAAATACTTCTCCAAGTGGGATTACAGCTCTTTTTCATCTCTTTGCTTTTATCCTGGCATGTTTTTGTTGGTGGATCCCTTAACTGGTTTTACACTTCTAGTAGTTTTGGCAATTGTTGTAATCTCTCAGCTGAGTCACACTGGAATCAATAGTAATAAGAAGTATTTCCTGCTGGCTCAGAAGAGATGTGAGGAATTTTGTTTCCTTTTTAAAAGTATTTTGGAAGTAGTTAGTGACAGTAGCAGGATAAACTTGTGTGTGAAAGACCTGGAACGCACATTACCAGCTACCACTGCTTAAATACCTCTTTTCCCTTGAGCACAGTTACCTGCCCCCATTCCAATCAGAGCACAACTGCATAACAGAGATTCTACTCATGAAAAAAATACAGTTAAAAGCAGACGAAATCCAAACTCCATGCTCAGAGGGCTGCAGTGAATTTACCTGCATACAGCTTCACACATTGCTACCATCTGAAGTGATACCTGATTGAAAGGTCTTAAAACATGTTTAGTGAATGGACACTTAGCTGGAGGAACTCTTCAGTCTCACACAGTCTGCTCCTTATGCAGTGGCACGTGTGGGGGTGATGTTTTCAATAACAGCTTCCTGAGTTCGATGCCATCTGTTTCTTCAGAAAGACAACTGTTGATCCATCTAATAAACATGTTCTTCTCCCCGAGACAGGCTTGCTGCTGCCTTTATGATTTTCTGGACAACTGTCTCAGTTTTAAGTCTCTGCTACTCAGCCATGGCAGAGGGTTTGCAGCTGTTTCACACTGGAGAGATTCTCTGCTCTCATGACAAAAGAACAGAGACATGATGCTGTGGCTGACATTAATAAGGAAGGGATTTATGATCTGTAAGTGTTCACTGCAGTTGCTGTTAATATATGAAAGGTTAAAGAACCCATGCTTTGAGAACAGCCAAAACCCAGAAAAAAAGAAAAAAGTTGTTGTAGTGGAGGCCCAAAGTAATTTCCTTTCCTCCATGCTCCAGGCAGCTGTTCCCACCCTCTTCATTTACTACTTAATCATTTTCCCTTCTCCAACCCTGGACTGAAGTTCCCAGCGCTTGTAACACAGATGGTGGTACAAAGCTGTCAGCTGGCACTGCAGCCTCTGCTTTGTTCCACTTAAATCTCTCCCAGACAGTGAAATTGGCCATTAACCTCTTAATTCCACATAAAGAGTTTTTCCTGCTTATTTCCAACTTGTGTTCAGCTACCCTGCAGGTGGTGGGGATGTTGGAATCTAACACAGCAATGACAGTGCACGTGGGGGATTTTTAGTGAATATGCAGATCCCAATACAGTCCCCCCACTATTCTTGCCAGGCAGACAATACCAAAAACAACAGAGGATGGAGATTGTTGCTGCTCCACACAGAGCAGGGAACAGATCAAACTTCACCTGGAAACAATCCCCTTGTGGAAAGGGCTCAGGACCAACTGTCCTTGTGTTGTGGGAGAGCTTTCCTGCTTCCACCAAGGTGGAAGCTGCCCTGGAAGTAGCAAAAGATGCAGTCTGAATACTGACTTGAAAACCTGTCAGAAATGTATTTGCAGCTCTGGCAAAACCAGAAACAGCAACATCAGCTCCTGCCCTCTCGTGGCAGTTCTGAGGAGGATGTTAGAGATCTCTAATAACAGTTAGCTAATAGCACTACATGAAGGACACCTGAGTCATGCCCCCATGGAGAACTGCTCCATGCTGTGGTGCCAGCTGCCTTGGTCCTCAGGTTGCTGAGGCTGTTTTGCAACAGCACTAATGAAGCAGCTAGAAATTATCTCCATCTGAAAATGAGTGCCTTGCAGACAGATTCAAGCTGCCAAGTGCTTCCCTGCAGCAGTGCTGGTTACAGAACAGGAGCCTTCTGAGGTACAAAACAGACTGAAAGAAAGTCAAGTTTCAGCTCCAACTCTGCCCAGCCCTACCACTGGCAGCATTTCAGCCCAGCACAAAGCAGCCCCAGGATGGCCCACCTGGGCCTGGCAACATCATGCCAGGACTCCCTCCCTCCAGCCCTTTCCCATTTCCCCAGCAGCACTGGTAGATGGCACCGAGCAGCAGAGCTTCTGCAGGATGGCTCCAAAGCATCCCTTGTGCTCAAGGTTTGCGATGATACATTTCCAGTACCCAGCTATCATTGTAGCACAGACATTAGAAAGCATCTTTTGGCCACTGAAGCCAGGACAAAGGCCATGCTGCAACAGCACAGTGAGAACAGGAGACTTTCCCTGCTGGATGCAAACGTTTTGGTCTCTTGTCCTTCAGAAGGAAGAGTAGCAGTAGCATCTAGATGCAGGCTTCTATTTTTATACCTCTATTCAGGTCAAGATATTTAAGTATCCAAATTCACCTCAGAGAATATCACTACATTTAGTGCTAGACTTGCTGATGAAGATATATTAAAAAAAAAAGAAAGAGAGAAAAAAATAAAACACCACCACCCAACACAATACCAGCCAGTCCAAGGTCTCCCAGGTAATACATCATTACACCAAGTCAAAAACTGGTTCCCTTCAGCTTGGCTACCCCTCTGATTTGCACTCCCCACCCAAAAAGCCCTTACAGAAAACCAGTGACCCCCACTGATTTCTACAGAATCCATGCTGAGAAAACAAACTCCACCTCTACTCCTGCTTTAATCCAGCCACTTGAAATAGCATTGATTTTTTCACCTGAGGATGGAAATGCACTTGCTTAACCAGTGGCACAAGCATTGAGATCAGCTCAGTAATACACCCAGGCTGCTTTGTCTGTGACCTGCTGTGTATCTGCTCCTTCTGCAAAGGGAGGCCAAGTGCCTATGCTCTGCACCACAGCTGCTGGCTATGGAGATGTTCAGATGCATTAGAAAGACCCTGCACTTCAACAGCAATGTTTGTATGTTTCCATGCATGCTATAGCCAGCAGTTCTGCCACTGAGGACTCCACCAGCAAGCGTGGATCATTCACTCATGACTGAAAGTTGCATCCACTGGTTGTGTTACACTGGTAAGGTGCCAGTGTATTCCCTATTGATCACCACACTGCCACCAATCAGCCACCCTAATAGGTAATGAGCAGGGAAGTTTAAGGCGCCAAAGGGAACAGACAGGGGGCATTTCTAATCGTTGAAGCCTTAAGTCTTCAACTATTAGAGGGTATAATCGATTGACACTAAGAGACTGGATTGCTACCACCATATATAACACTGGCTCTCAGTTATTTATAACCCTAAGCTCCAAAACCATCTGCTGTCTTTACAAAAATCAATGTTCATTTGTGTCCCAGTTCAAAATACAGAGAGGACATTACCTGGAAGGCAGACAATAGCTACGTTTTTTAGAAAGCGGAAGTTTTCAGCATGAGGGACTGCATAAATCAAGTCTGGTTCTCAGAAAAGTGGATTGCTGGCAGTTGCAGAAGTCTTGCCAAAGCCAGAGCACAAGCTGGCCACAAGCATTTCCCCACAGTTCACTGAAAATGAGCGGAAGAGCAAAGCTTGCACCACTCGCAACCCAGGACAAACAAGAGGTAGTGGCAATGTACACACTCAGCAGAAATACTTGGCACTGCTGGCAGGGCAAGCCTCTAGACAATACTTCATCCAGATAGCCCTCTTCCTCCCCAAAAGCAGGCAAATACCACCCTGATTCACAGAAGAGGAAGAGGAAGCCTGTGGCAGGGAGAAGGCAGCCTGCCCAAGGTCAGAGGAAGCACAGGCACAGCCACAATCTCTCCCAGCAGCATTATCAGCTCTGCCCTCCTCCAACAGTCCCTTTGGCTCACAACAGGCTGCAGTATTCAGCTCGAGTTTTATAAAGTCACCACAAAAGTTTCCATTTCAAACCTTTCCAAAATCTTTCCTGTAGCAAGCAGCACTACTTCCAAAATACATACAATTTCAAGAGGCCAGAGAAAGAACAGTGAAGCAGCACTGATCACTCAGAAGAGAATGGCCAGAGGAGCAACAATATTGCACAGAGAGGAACTGTTCTGCATAGGAGCAGAACATGAGCCACAGAACATCCGTCTGGAAAAATGAGAGCTACAAAAAACAAAAGGTGTTATGGTTGTCGTTTGTGGCAACAGAAGTTTCTCTCTCTTCCTTCCAGGCCCCCAAACAGAAGCAAAATGAATTAAAGACCTGACCAGAGGCGAACTTGCTCTCCAGGGAAACTGGAGTGCTACAGAAGCAGTGGGTTTGTGAAACACCCACAGTTCTGTGCCACAAATCCAAAACAGAATCGCTCACAGACCTGATGCTTCTTTCCACGCCTGCCTCACCAGCTGCCAGGTCTCTAGCACCACTGCAGTTTCAGCACTAGAAATTATTTGATTGCTGATAAGTCTGATTGGCAGCGAAGTACAGCTACAGGAAAACTGGGGGAGCTCTGGAGAGGCAGCTCTTGAAATAGCCTGATAATGAAGTACCTTCCATTTAAAGGATCCCAAATTAGAAGCCGAAATCACCTCCCAGCTGGAGGCAAGCTCACTGCTGCCCAGCACAGCGCAGCTCCATTGAAGGTGCAGAGCCATGGCTGCAGGAAGGGCAAGGCTGAACCTTTTGTTTGAAGGCAGGAGGCAAAGGCTCCAGAAGTCAGTTCTGTCACAGCTCCCCCAACCCTTATTCCACAAGTGACTAGCTTCACAAGTAAAGTTCTCCCCAGCCTTCTGTCTCAACATTAATACTGAAGCCTCTGCAGGGAAAGTAGCATATCATTCCTCCAAAAATGCTGTTTGAACGGTGATGTGGTTTAAAGAAGCAATTCAGTCACCTGCAACACAAGTCTTCCATTTTTATTGAGTTAGTAAGGTCTCAACTGATTCTGAATTAAGTGGTCTGTAAGAAACCCTCCTTTCTCATAGCAAGAGCAGGCTTGCCCCAGGAAAGCCATGAATTCATCAAAGGAATCACATTGACAATATACAAGAAGCATCACTCAATAACCATCAGACTTCTCCTAGAGCCTTGGACTTTCAAGCACAAACCTTCATCATCTCGACCAACCCATCAACTTCCTTGAAAACTAAATCAAGCATGGCAGTTTGGAACAGGATACAAACACTACGCAGAGTCTGGAAAAAGCAACACATCTGGAATATAAGCAATACAATTTTAATTCTGACCAGTCACCTACAAACCCCTCGTCTTTCCACTGTTCTGATGGCATTATTAAATATCACATTCGTGACATCGCTCGGGAAAAATGACACAAAGATACAGACATTATGATACAATAGTATCAATGATAAATTATTTATACAGTAAATAATGTCAATAGTCAGCACAAATTCATAAAAAGCAGCCGGCTCCCAGTATTATGAAAACAGTTTGGTAAATATTTAAATTGTAACACTTGTAAAGGAAGTGAGTCTTGTGAGATTCTGCTGTGAAAAATAAACCATATATTTCTCCACAATCTGTGCAATATTAATACATACAGTACACATTAGAAACTGTAACAGCAAAAGGGAAGATGGATAACAATAGTTGTCTTAGCTACGGGACTTCAAAAAGACTGTAAACACCACAACCCACCACAGTTTTCCTTCCCTGTCCCCTCAATGTAGTTTAGTTTCTATATAGTATAAAACTGAATAAATAAACTGAGCTTATTTTGGGTTTAAAATTATGCCAAGATTTTTTTTTTTTTTCTTTTTACAAAATAATTAACACTTTATCTTTGGTCAATTTGACCAGTAAGGCTATTCTGGGATACTAACATTTAAAAAAAAAAAAAAATCAAAAGCACTTTTAATATCTGCAAGTGAGAAGAAGAAGGGGAAGAGGGAAATGCATTTGGAGAAACAGGCCAGAGCAGACATGATCAGATGCACATACATCCCCCATGCAGGAAGAGGTGGAGGCGGGGAGGAAGAAGGAGTATTCTGAGGAGCAGATAAATTATCAGGAAATGGATTCACCCTTCTGGACACAGCTTGAAGCTTCAGCAAGGCAGGGGCAGAGTCACGGCTCCAGGCTGGGATGTCAGCAGGGCAGAGCCCTGAGCCACTGCTCCATGTTGCCTTGCCACAGACTGCTGTGATGTGCATCTCTGCGCAGTGGGAAAGCGATGCAGCTCTTGCAGAAGTGGCTCGGTGAAAGCAGCAATTTGCCATTCAGCAGTTTCATTAAGCCAGGGCTCCCCACCAGACCAGCGTCGCATTCAGATCAATTCATGGTGACAGATCATTATTCTGAACTACAGATGAATTTATAATTTTAAATACTATCAACCCCATCTGGCCTCAGAAAACAGTTACCTAGTGTTAAATGAGAGGCTGTGATTAGAACTGCTTGGCTGAATAGATAATGCCCCATCTAGCTGTCACAAATGCATTCAAGTGACTGACCAAGGGAAAAAAACATCAAGTCATCTCAATTTCACTGTTGATAAAACTAAACTGGAAAAATAATGAGAGATAAATCTTGCCACAGATCAATTGGAAAGCACTTCCCCCCCATCTGCAAGAATCACACCCTTCCTGGTCTAAACTTTTCAATAACTTCAGCAACAACAAAAAAGTAAAGTATTTTTTCCTTATTCTGAAAGGCAACATGAATGTTTTTTGTTTTGTTTTTTAAAAAGACATACTGGGTGTGGACAGTCATTCTTTTTCCTCTTCTATGAAAACAAGAGCAGATGAATATTCTGAATCCTACTTGCAAATTCATTAGTATCAAGAGGATAGAACAATCTGCATAGAAACATCCACACACTTAGCATTCCATCTACTAATAGAGCTACACTGACCTACACAGCTAAACTCTGTGATTGTACCCTAGATTTGATAGTCTTTCAGCCTCCCTGCCCACCACAAGATACAACCAGCAGCCAGCCCTTCCCTCTGCAGCACCCTAGGACTGTCCCACTCAGCATCACTACACCAAGACATGAAACTGGCAATCTCTTCCAGCTTTTTTTGTCCTCCTGACTAGGGAAAGGCCACCAAGATGCATCAGTTCATTCGGAGATGCCCTCGAGGCAGGAGCAAGCACTGGGACGTCCCTTCCACACTCTCTGCACATGTTTGCATTGCTTGCGAAAGCAGAGCTCAGAGCACTGCCACTCTGAGCAGCCAGGTCTGCACCAGAGACACGGGCTGAAACCTGAGTGTGGTTTAGTGCTGATGAGTCCAGACATGCAAGTTAAAATGTATAGTTCAGCTTACAGTGAGTAAATGCAACCAGTTATTAATATGGAGCGCACCTTTCATTAAGAAAAAATTAGTCCATACAATTAATGAGCTGTGTTTGTACATTAGAACTTTAAACATCTTAAGAAGAAATAAAAAACAACAGCCTCCCTGCTGATCTTTGTGAAGGCTACACGTCTGTCCGTTCTGGTCATCGGAAAACAGGAACAAACCAAGGGAAAGGAGACTTTAGTGTTTGTTCATTTTAATGTAGTCTTAAATCACGTTATGTTCAAATTCAATTCATCTAAAAATAATTAGTCACGAGAATTTGTTTTGAACTGCATTATGAATACTTCATTTAAAAGTAAAATATTTTAGTGTTAATCTTCCCTTTTAAACTCTCTTTACAGAAACGAAGAGCTAAAACCATAAATAAGAGGGCATTAAAACCATAAAAATGACATTTGCCAATATCTTAATTTTTCAGCCAGACTTGATAAATCTATCAAAACCAGACAGTTAAATAAGAACCACATTATAAAAATTAGCAAAAAAAGGACTATCAGGTAACTCTGCAAACTCAAATATGAAACTGTACTAAACAAAATATGTGCAAAAGTATACAAGAGTAACTGCATATAGCAAGGTTAAGCCTGAATTAGTTTTAAAGCTTGCCACGGTGAAACTGAATTCAAAGTTGTCCCACTGTATTTCTTTTTTTTCTTTCAACTCACATTGTAAGTCAAATAAAAACAAAATACACATAACTTCCAAACGAAGCTGGTACTGGACAAGCACAGAGCAGGACACTCACTCAGCACGAGTGCAGCATGCCACTCACAGAGAGTTCCTCAGGAGTCCTTAGAGTAGTGTACAAATTCAACACTGCATACAACAGCACACGTTATACTTGACAACTTGCGAATGTTCTTGGGTTTTTTTGTCTGCTTTTTCCTTTTGAGACAAGCTTGCTTTCTCAGTCAGACCTCTGATACCAAAGCAGTGCGATTTTGTGTTGCAATGTTTAATGCATAAAAACCAGCCACCTGGGCCCTCCGAATCATTCTCTTCTAAGAGTAAGGACTATGGGTGAACCAACAGTCTAGAACTGTGTACAGTTATGTGCAAAACATTCACTAGCACTCTGAATCTCAGGTCTATCATATGGGCATAGGAAGTGACAGATGCAGGTAAATAGTAATTTCAGGATCCAGCACATCATCTGACATCTACAAAACAGCCAACGGAGTTTAAAATGGCAGGTTCTCCCTAGAAAGTGTATTGAAATGATTAACAAAGTAACAAAATGGGCAGAATCTAACTTTGGTGAGAAGTCTGAACATTTCACATAATGCTCAACAAGCCAAAGTAAGGTACCATCTGTAGCAAAGACTAGATTTAGATTAACTGGTAAGTAGAGACAACTCTTCAAAGATCATAACTGTAAACTGCAAATCTACTTCCAAGTCTCTTACACACCATTCAGTCCACACAGGCCACGTTTGTTTCGCTGTAAAGACTTCAGCCTGGAAACACTATGAAAAGAAAGTTCCTTTAATTGGGTCTTTATAGGAGAAAAGGGTTAGTTGTATTTGTAGACTGGGATGCTGACGGTGGGATTCCTGTACTGTGAAGAGGTTGGGTCATTGATCCTGCAATGCTCACGTTCATCCCCTGGCCCATCCTTGTTATGGATGCCACAGTGCCCATAGCTGGTATTGGTGCCATTCCCACAGGCACTGGGGCCATGGAAGACAGAGGTATTGGCTCCATGCTTATTGGTGGCACAGCACTGAAAGAAGGACTGGTTCCCATCACAGGACTTGCTCTCATCTGATTTAGAGTGAGTGGCTGAGGCTGATTCACTTGGAAGGGGTTGATTGGAGTTGGTGCTGTAGCTGCACCTAGTTTTGAGAGAAGGGGGAAGAGGAAAGAAGATCGCACCTCCATAAATGCTGAGGTTGTGGAGATCACCTTTTCCAGCAAAGAATGCACCTTTTAGACATGCTCCCAATCCCAAATCACTCAGCGATGCCACTCAGCAGGCTGGTGCACAAACACAGTCTGTTTCATTCAGCCCATCTACACCACAGAATGTTCATTTACTGACCAACTGTTTCCACTTTTGATGACGGTAACAGAAGTAACAAGTTCTAAATCAATAACGTTAAACACGACTACCTATGAGATTATTTAATTAAAAAAACACTTTAAAATTTGCTTTTAAAAGGCTATTTCTACTCCCTTTCTGCAATCTAGCTACTGCAGATCTTCAGCATCTCTTCCAGTTAACTCCATTTAGAAACTGTACATGTTTCTGGCACTGAGCTTTGACAAGAATTCATAAAGTAAACAAGTTGTTTCCGAATTACAGCGGTGCTAGAAAAAGCAGAGAATGACTTTCCCAGCATTTGAGGTTTTTTGGGCTGCTGCCAATGCTACAAATTCCTTTTACCGTATATGCACAGTGTTATTTGGATGGCCCAGTGACCCCTCACAAACTTTTTAGTAACTGGTAATGGCAGATACAGAGATTTGTTCTGGTTAAGCACTGCCAAGTTCCTCAGAATTGCTGCCTTTTTCTTTACTCAAGAAGTTTTACAAACTGTCTTTTTTTTTTCCTGCCAGAAAAGTGAAGAAAATAGATACTGAAATACCATTTTAAGGTATTTCACCACACTGGTGTCACACAGAAATTTCAGTGCATATGAGTAGCTTTTAAAAATATATACATCCTCCAAATGTTTACTGCCACCTTCTGAGTTCACTCAAAGTAAAGGTTCACTTAACAACAGGGTAACACTGAGAGTGTATTTTGATCAAAACTGGGTTACCATGCTAGCCTACAGACAGCCTAACATCAGCAGCCTAACCAGGAGCTCATCAGAATATTCTTGGAACCTAAGTTGGAGTCAGAGATACTAATCAGTTGAGCATCAGTAGGAAAAGGGCTTGCCACAAGAATCTACCACCTACCACTCTCCCAGCAGATTCTTTGGTGGCACATGTTCATGTCTTACCTGTTCTGACAATCAGTCAGTTTTAGCTCAGACATTTTTAATAACCAAAAGTCTTCCTCTAACTCAAATGCTTTTAAGAGAGCAAGTGCAAAAGTGGAAGAAAGCCAGCTTGAACAAAGCTAGCCCAACAGATCAGCTGCAGGCACAGAGGTAGAAATTCTAGGCTTTCAACAGCAGCACGCCTAGAAAGCATGCTGTCCCACCCTTCTGCTCCCAATCATAATCTGTTGGCTGAAACAATCAAGAAAAACAAGCCAAAAATGGCTTACATTAAACCAAATGGGAATGAGTTATGCAGAGTTTTCCTATAGGAAAGATAAAATAAAATAACTGAAGGAATGTGCAGAAACAGACCTGGTGCCAAGAATGGATTCAGCGAAGTTACAGGTTGCGGTGGCTTAGACACCAGTGAATCCAGGTTCACCAGAGCAGCATTGGGGCCCAAAAAAGACTCGGGGGTTTTCCGAGCTGCGCTCTGTTTGCCTGATGTCATGCTTGAGTGTTGGGAATCAAAGAGATCAGGACTTGTGGTACCGCTATGCTGGGATGGCAAAGTGGAACCTGATTCAGCTGTAACAACATA